TCCTGCTGTTGATCACTAGATTCGGTGATTCTGTTCAGATTTCCATGTTTGTAACACGCGTTTCTTTACTCTATTTCAGAGGGTGTCACCATACTTCTACAGAAGCTACTGGTGCTGGTAAAGGCTTCGTAAAGAGCAATCCTTCTTCAGGGATATTGCGCCAAATGTCATCGCTTGTTACCGACCTACAAGTTGTCATAATAACCTGGGAAACGATGTGCATCTTCATCCGATAATCAAATATGTGGATGATTCTCAATGAGGATTCATATACTGAGAGCGAATTATATAGGTCAGCTCATATGAAATATGAAAACGACTGACTTTGCTGTGCTGTTGTCAAAACACTCTGTCTGAACCGAGTTCCATGGTGCTACTGAGTCCATGGATTGCCTGGACCTTCAAGAAAAGGGACATATGGTTATGGTGAGAAAGATATGGGAATTCCAAGGATCATAATCGAACCGAATTCGTGTCTCAAATCCAGAACCGCCGGATCAAGGGTACGCAACCCTGCATGGTTTAATGCGGCCTCAGTCAACTGCATAATCCTTGACCTTTGAGGGGTATCTGAACCTATTATGGACAACTGATAACTTCAAATTGGCATTTATATGTAATTTTCACTTATTTATATGAATCACAAACTTGATCATCATCTATTCTGGTCCTGAATTATGCTAAAGAGGGATCTGTGTTCATTCGTCAGCGCATGATCAGAATGTTAGTATGTGTGTGTTTCAATTCTGTCGTACAGTTAGCAATTTTGAATACGTATAACCACATCCTGTTACACAATCGACCCTTGGCTAAACAAACCAGTGGTCGATGGTGGGAGCATAGAGTGGACAGAATGAGTGAATGAGTTTAGTTCTACGCCGATGTTAGCAATATTCCAGCAATATCACGGCGGGGGACACCAGAAATGGGCTTCACACATTGTTACCATGTTGGGAATCGAACCCGGGTCTCTGGTGTGACGATCAAGCGCTTTAGCCACTAGACTACCCCACCGCCCCGAGTGAGTCTGAACAACATCCTAGTTACACAGCGTGTAAACATCTTGTGGGATAAAGCCCGAAGTTTACCATTTTGGTGATATAGCGCAAGCAAACCCCAAACAAAATCGACCCGTGAAGATCCGGGTTAGAATTGGTCTTGAGCATCCCATGCTTGTCTTAAGAGGCGACTACATATCATCGTATCCCAATTGCGTAGATGGATGTTCATGCTTTTGATCATTGGATTGTCTGGTCCATACTAGATTATTTACAGCCCGCCGCCATATAACTGGAATATTGCTGAGTGCGGTGTTAAACTACAAACCAACCAAACCCCTACAAATCATGGCGAGTGTGCGATGTGAAATATGTCTAAGGGAAGCAACTCTGCACAGCGAGTGGTGGCGCTGTAGGCGACTGGGACACTCTGTCACCCACCGAGGGGACAGATCCTGAAATTATCTGGAGGTACCTTAGTGGAGATAATGAGATTGTTAAAACTACAATGTGATATCAACATTTTTCTGTGATAACGTGGACTTCCAAATCTCAGGTGATTCACTTCAGACACCACACAGATCTACGTCATTATTCTTATACCTGTACCTGGACAGCGTAAGCAAATATATATTTATAGTCATCGACATTTCAAGCTGCTTATTTTTTATGTTCCTTGCAGATACCAAAATATATTTATCATGTTTGTTTACATAATTAATATTGGCATTGTGCCAGGATTGTTACATGCATGTATTACTTGTTTTCACAACAAGTAAATATTCATCGACGCCATTAAATTTGTATGTATTGTTATACATCTGTAATAAATGTTTCATAATTGTGTTACATAACCTATGGATTGTTCGCAATAAAGATATGATTTTAATATCGGGGTTCGTATTTGTTGATCACATATTACTCAAATTCATTTGTGAGCCCGGGTCCCAACAGTTATCATTCTATTTAATCACTGTTTCAAAACACAGTTTTGTTTGGACAGTTGAGCGGAAAAAAATAATACATTTACACAGCACATTTATTCGGAACATTCTCCGCATTCATTAAACAGTTTTGTCACATTACACAGGGCGGTGGGGTAGCCTCGTGGTTAAAGCGTTCGCTCATCACGCTCAAGTCCGGGTTCTATTGCGTACAAATTTCTGGTGTCCCCCCCGCCGTGACATTACTGGAATCCTGCTAAAAGCGGCGTAAAACTAAACTCGCTCACTCACGTCACACATCCACGCCACCAGGATATAGAATGTTTGTATTCTTTATGTGGAGGTTTTTCACGTAAGTAAGTCATGAACCAGGACACAATTAGACAAACTTGTGCGTAGCATTTATCTGAAGATTCCCATGCGGTTTCCAAATCCTGTTATAGATCATGCATGTTGATATTAACCGACTTTTACTTACTGAATACAGGAAGATACATTCACTTATACAAACATGCGACTGGAGAGACGGTAGGGTAGCGAAGTAGTTACAGCGATCGCTCGTCACGCTCGTCACGCCGAAGACTTGATACGATTTCCCACATGTTTACAGTGTTGGAACACAGGCCTTCGTGTCTTTGCGAGGATTAAAGATGTTAAGAAAAATATTAAAAATTTGAGATGACCCCCGACTCGAAATGCTTCACAGTAGAATACATTATGACAGGGGGTCAGGGGTCATCTCAAAACTTATTTTGAAAAAATCTGTAATCTTCGCAAAGACACGAGGGCCTGTGTGTTGGAAGCCCATTTCTGGTGTCCCTCGCCGTTATATTGTTAAAGGGGCGATAGCCGAGAGGCCGCTGTCACGCCGAAGGCCCGCGTACGAATCTCCACATGGGTACAATGTGTGAAGCCCATTTCTGGTGTCACATACGGCTGGTACAAGCTATTTTGACAATGTAAAATTTTTCATAACGGTATCAAATATCACTCACACACACACACACACACACACACACACACACACACACACACACACACACACACACATGTATATGTATGTTTACTACCCATAGGCGGATCAGAGGGGTGCAGGGGTGCGCGCAACACACACACACACACAACACACACACACACACACACACACACACACACACACACCGCTTTTGTGCTGAAAGTTTGTTAAATGACCATTGAAGCTCGGGTAAAAATGAAGTGTGCAACCCCCCTTTCTCAAAAAGCTGTATCCGCCCCTGCTAATCGAATCGTACACCTCTCGTCACATCTGTCATGTGACACACTACACGGGTTGTACGAATGACCTTGACCTTATTTTAATTTCAAATTTGTTTGTGTCAATAAATGTATCCCTAAAATAAAATGTTTCTGTATTTCACTTGTCGTTTACCAAAATCTCAATTTCGATATTTTGTATCATAAACTAAGCCATCCCGAGTTATCTCCCTTTATGCCCGTATGAACGAATTTGCACCTTTGCTACGTAGTTAGAAAATCATACTAAGTCTATAACTGTCGGAGATATAATATATGTATGTTGTTGTTGTTGTTTTGCTTTTTGCCCAGACCACTTACTGCCAATTATAGTCGAACTGCTTTTAACGAACTACGCTTATGACGATGTAAAGCCTAGTAACCGTAGTTTACTGCAGTGGCTCTCGACACACAGAATATATGTAAGGAGGCCGGGTAAGAATAGTCTTAGTTGCACAAGGAGACTCAAAGGGTCGGGTGTACTGGTTTAGTGACTTAATAACATGTCATCGTAAAGACATAGAGGGTGTTGCTCATGAGATCGGTCACTGGTTTGTACAGACCTGATATAATTAACAGGCACTAGAATACTGCTGATTTCTAAATAAGCAAACAACCGTAACTTAGAACTGCTGGAAATATTGTACAGTTTTATTCTGTTTTTGGCTTCAAGAGTGAGTAACTTTAGTTTTACCCCGCTTTTAGCAATATTCCAGAAATAACACCGCGAGGGACACCAGAAATGGGCTTCACACATTGTACCCATGTGAGGAATCGAACCCGGGTCTTCAGCGTGACGAGCGACGCTTTAACCGCTAGGCTACCCTACAGCCCCTACGGCTTCAAGACCACGCCTGTCCTTAAAAACCATAGCATATCAATGTTGTGCTATATGTCGTCGGATAACCAAGGGTGCACGTTTCCCGTTGGACATGTGTTTAAGCCAAGTATGGAGATAATGTGGGAAGGCATAGTGGTATTCATAAAGGTATAAATGCATTTAATTTTCAAATATAACATTTTTTTTAAAAAAGATAAAGAATCAACTGTCGAGTACTTAAGGAAGGTAAGCATTTCAGACAGCCTTTCTCATCAACGGCATTTCAGTGTAGAAATATATATAAGATCATCACACACCGTGCTAACCTTGTGTGTAAAAATGAAAATAAATTCATTAAATGACGTCTCAAATGTCTTATACTTTAACGAGTGAGTGAATTTAGTTTCAGCAATATTCGTGCTATATAAATAATCGAGTTTGGACCAGACAATCCAGTGATCAACACCATGAGCATCGATCTGCGCAATCAGGAACCGATGACATGTGTCAACCAAGCCAGCGAGCGAATACTTTAACGAAAACAAGAACGAGGTCAACCTTACTGATACATAATATTTCAGTGTAGCAATTGTATTAGTGGTGACACAAACCCTGCTTTGTGTATAAAAATATTAAAAATCATAAAATATCAAATGTCGAAGACAAGCATGCAGGCAACCTTACTGATAAGTGATATTTTAGTGGAGCAATATTATCAATGGTTACACAAACCGTGCTGTGTGTTTAAAAACAGTTAACACTAAATTTCGAATATTTGAAAGAAAGACAAACATGCAGATAACTTTACTGATAAATGATAGTGTTGTGTACCAATATTATCAATAGTTAACCAAACCTTGCTAACTTTGTGTTTAAAGTGAGTAAGTGTAAGATTACAATAGCTATACAATCAGCAGGTCGGTGCAGGGACGAGGAGATATGAGACAACCTTTGGTACGCTTGTAAGATAACAGTACAATAGCACAGGAGGGTTGTGATACATCCCTATACAGTCTCACATCGGTTCAAACACGGAGACATATTACTTGGACATTATTCAGGATTTTACTCGTTAAGGTGGGTCTATACTAATTCATTTGACGATATTCTTTTATATTCAGATGTGTTAATTTTCGCGTGAGAATAATGTTGTTTTGAAAATATTATTCTGATTTAAAGTGGGTGATTCCACGTGCAAAATGAATTATGCATCGTTGAGGCACATATGAGCGAATATTGTGCAATTGTTTCGTAAAATTGCAGGTTTTAATCAAGAACGGAGGAGATGTAAATGCTTCATATAGTTTTAAGCTAGATAGTGTTATCACTACAACATTTTCATCCACGAAATATAATTGTTCTAAATCTGGATTCTGGATGCGAGAGTAGGGTTTATTGTCCAGCGAAAATCCCATGATATGCACAGAGACCTTATAAATTAAGCACCCCTGTATTTTTGTAATGATAAGTTTTCATACATACGTATATAAAACTTCTCGTGGCGACCAGGGGCGGTGGGGTAGCCTAGTGGTTAAAGCGTTCGCTCGTCACGCCGAAGACCCGGGTTCGAATCCCCACCAGGGTACAATGTGTGAAGCCCATTTCTGGTATCCCCCGCCGTGATGTTGCTGGAATATTGCTAAAAGCGGCGTAAAACCAAACTCAGTCAGTCAGTCAGTCCCCCGGTGACCATGATGGATGGAGTTTTTCTGACCCGTATGATCCTTTGACTCGTACAAAAACGACAAATGATTGGAATCCATGTTGATTTTATGATGACAATATTGCTCATTTTAAAAACAACACACTGGTTTTCAAACAAAACCATGTCTGTACAAGTATGGCCCAGGAATGTTTAGTGTTGAATTTATTGGTGAATGTGAACATTCAACATGCGATTTTGCGTGTCTTTCAAGTTCAATACCGAGTGTAACCTCCATGTGACTGTATGACAGCTCTCCCCATATAGTAATAGTAATAGTCCGCTTATATGGCGCTCATATCCAGGCACATTGCCTGCTCACGGCGCTACGTACATTACTATCCCCGGTCATAGGACACTATCGTACTTTCCGATACTTTTCAACTCCCTGGGGATCATACAGCCATGCTGCCTGTTAGGCGCAATGAACTAAACACTCACATTGCCAGCACATCCTCACGGGTACCCATTTTACAGCTGGGTGAACTGAGACAATGTGGATCTAAGTATCTTGTCCAAGGATACTACGCAAATGTGCCCACCTCGGGACCCGAACCGCCTTACCAGGCGCCTCCGAGTCTTCATGGCATTGACAAAACACGGGCAGATCGAACCCGGGCCTTCAGCGTGATAGGCAGACAAACCCTCCTGCCGTTACCACTGCACTATTGCGCTAAAAAAGCCATTATAAACTTTGACACATGGACAGCAGGGACCCGATCCACAAAGCGTTCGTAACGTTACGACCTGTCGTAACTCTATAGTTTATCATAGGTTTACGAATTTCGTAGCGCAACGAACTCTTTGTGGATCGGGATTCAGGTTGCTTTGGCACGTCATAAAATCTGTGGTCATCTGATTTTCACCAACAAATGCAAATCTCAGTCAGATGCTCTTTGCACTTTTTTCGGTAAATATTATAGAAAAGGGTAGTCAAGTTGAAGAACAGGGTTTCAAGCTAAAGTAAACCAGAATACCAGAACTCATGCTCATTGTAATAATATCTTATATCACTTTCAGGTTTGTAATCAGTATGAAGAGTTTGCTTGTTAATTAATAGTTATTTCCAATTGACTCTTTTGTCAATATTTTACTTAAATGTTCACTGTATCACAGAATGAGGCTACTATTCTCCGCACTCCTCACAGTGCTTGCGGCGCTTGTGGCATACCGTATATACCAAGTATTACAGCGACCCCTACCTGACGATGTAGTGAACCCTAGTCAACTCCGATGGATAGATGAGCTGGGCCGGATAGCGAATATACTGGTACGTTTATACACAGAGGAGTATACGAGGGTGAACGGGTTACATTTTACCGCCGCCTAGGAATTATTCCACAATATAGTTACTAGATATCATCGAATCAGCAAGCAGGTCGTATGAATACAAACATGTTTACGAGGGGCGTTCATTAAAGATTTCCCCTGACCCACTCGCAGTGGACTTAGTGGAACGAAACTTTGCACAGTTATTAGTCCTTTTCTACATAGCAACCACCAAGAGTTACACACTTCTCCCATCGTTTTATGCAACTATAAAGACCTTGCTTGAAAACGTCAGTAGGTTGCGTATCAAACATGACTTGACTTCCGAAATCAGTGTTGCATCATCTGGGAAGCGTGTTACTTTCAAAATGACTTCAAAGTTGGAAAGATATGGAAGTCAGATGGTGCATGGTGTGTGATAACTGATAAGTCTGTCGAAAACGTTTGCCTGGGGTTTTTTGGTACATGTCCAAAAGAGCCTTTGACTGACTCGTACCTGCTTCTGAAAAATGGGAGCAGCCTGGGAATCCATCGTCCAGATACCTTATGCATGTGCAAATCTTTTCCACAGACCCTACACAGAACTTGACATCATGTGCTAACTGGCGAACAGTTATACGGCAATCTTCCAAAATGGCAGTCTCCACTTTACGGACAGTGCCTTCATCAATGGCTGAAAGAGGTCGACCAGGAATGGAGCAGTTTCCACAGATTTCCGACCACATTTCAACTGGTGATGCCAGTGTTTAACTACATCATACGATGGGGCACCCTCCCCATAGGTTGCTTTCATTTCATCAAAGGTCTCTTTTGGTGTGCGATCTTTCAAGTACAAAAACTTGATCACTGCTCGGTACTCAACTGGCTCCATTGTCACACCTTACTTCAATATAACGCTTGTCAAAGAAATAGCTTTAATAGTTCAATGCTGAAAATTTCCACATGTCCCATAGACATATGTGTCATTACTCACGTGAAGTTTCAGACACATGTGAAAACCAGAAGTGGGTCAGGGGAAATCTTTAATGAACGCCCCTCGTAAAAGCAAACGCCAAGGATGAGATGTCCAACAATATACATTTAAGCTTTGCTGTTTGATAATGTCATTCCTTTGCAATTGTAAAGTCCACACAGTCAAGCAAATCTACGCTTAGTAATGAAACTTTCATCACAAGGGATACATTTCTGTAGTCCGCCCCCAATCCGTTTTGAGCAAATATTGTTGACTTAACAGACATTGATCAATAACATATAGTCATAAAATGAACTATTCATGTCTTGACTCACAAACCAAGTGTGTCAGATCTGGGTTTTGTCAAGAATTCAGTGAGTGCATTCATTCCTATCTGGTTGTCCCACCTTTATGAGACCTGGGGCTCCTTTCACGAAGCAACCTTTACTAAGGTTAACCTTAACTCCCATTCTTTAACATTGCACTAAGGTTACCTTTGTGACTTACGATCATCTTAGTGCTTTGTGAGGGCCCAGGGCCCAGGGCCTCCTTTCACAAAGCACTAAGGTGATTGTAAGTCACTAAGGTAACCTTAGTGCAATGTTAAAGAATGGGAGTTAAGGTTAACCTTAGTAAAGGTTGCTTCGTGAAAGGAGGCCCTGATCCCTAAGTTTGGTTTCAAGTCACTACCACGGGATAAAATGTCCTGATTACGGTTTGTAGGTAGCTGCTTTAGCTGAAACATCGAATGTTTAGTTAACTGCTGTGTGCACCCATAACATTTTCCAGTAGAAAGATGGCGAGTTTATGAACGGTTTATTTTAGGCACATTTGTGTTTTTCCATTTTGTTTGGAAATAAGATTCCCTCGATCATATATTGCCCGACTAATCCATTGTTTTCATAAATATCGACAGGAAACAAGTTCCAAGGCTATCGGCTTCAATCCTGCTACCAAACCCGTGAAGTCACTGGTTGATATCGGTTTCTCCTTGGTTCTGAATCCTACATTCTGGAGGAAAGCGGCGGACAATATCAAGGTCAGAACATCTTCATCTGTCTTAAAACCCACCTCACTTACTCAATCATTTACTCACTCACACATAGTGCCATGCGTTTTACAATTTAAGACACGTTTTTGCATAAGTGTGAAACAACTGATTGAACTATTGGTGCATTGCAAAACCTCGTTGCTTGATAAAATGATAAAGATAACATCTTTACCGCGCTACACCATTGATTCATCAGGAATGACACAAAACATTGATGATTTACTGTTATTATCACTGTTTCGGTTAAAAATAGTTTGTTCAAAATACGTAGTGGTTTCTATTCATAACAAGACAATGTATCTAACAAACGCATGTGTATCGTTACGTCGCCCTTAACACATTCATTCAGGAAATGGCGGCCATGTTCGATTCATGCCAAATAATGCAAAGAAATAGTTATTACTGGAAGGTTAAGGTCGTAATTCTTTTGGAAACAAGGTCCAATATCATAATGCTGCACAAAAAGACTTTGCATTTCTCTTCGACAGTTTTTTAATTTCTGTTCTTGAAAAGAAACGTAATTGGGATGTGGCAATCAGAGCGGGATTGACAGAAGGGACATTATCTTACCTTCATGTGAAATACTTTAATTTCATTGGTCAATGACGGTTTAACAAGTTCAACTGGAAAAAATATTACCCGCTGCCACGGTAACCGCCAAGCTCTCCGCCGAGAAGCTGAAGCGCTAACAATCGTATGACGTCATAATATGACGCATGCCGTGCCCGGAGTTCGAAAACCGTTCGATCAGCTGTTTCTGTGTTCACTTTGTACAGATTTATTTTACCGACTTTCACTGCTTTATTTAAGCTGTTATATACGTTGAGTGGTTTGCACACTCATCTTAAACATAATTAACAATTTTGTAGCAGTTTTATGCTTGTCAGAATATGTTTCACTGATGTTAAAAATCCAGTCGAGAGGCAGACGCCATTTTGTTTGCATGTCATATAGTCGGTAGCGATCTTTTAACATAAAATATAATGATATTTTGCACATTTAACATGGCGGTAAGATAAATACGTTGTATGCTTCTCTCGAGGGTAATACGGTCTGATGTACGCCTCTTTGTAGCAGTGTCATCCTGGCGAGGGATGACACTGCTACAAAGAGGCGTACATCAGACCGTATTACCCACGAGAGGCCGGGATGACACTGCTACAAAGAGGCGTACATCAGAGCGTATTACCCTCGAGAGAAGCATACAACTTATACTATTTCCTTTTTTATCCCACCATGAACTTCAACAAACCCAAATATAAATGTATCTATTATGGGTAGAGCTGATTATTAAATGGTAGATTCTAGAATGCAGACGTTCGACAGACATTGCGATCCTTTTAAGTCACAGTGTCACATTAGTGACTTTTGTATAGTAAAACCGCCCCAAATCATCGGTGCTTCATCCAAGTGCAATAGAACGTGTCATGGCGACATTGTCTCTTCCTTACAGGTGGCCAACGCTGTGTACGGCAATGTCCCTGTGATAACCTTCACCCCTGGTGAGCTGGCGTCCTTGACCTCTCCCCGCCCCGTCATGGTGTACTTTCACGGCGGCGGCTGGACGTGGTTCTCCGCAGGTAGGTATAGACAAAGGACCAAGACATGTACTTTTCATCAATGTCAATGTAACACCAAACAGTCTGCCTCACAGCCCCTGCATGGTCATGAACCATATGATTGTCAAAGATCTGTCTGTAATACAAAAGTTCTAAAACAAGCAAGTCTGGATTTCCTTCTGATCCTGAATTTTCCATCTCACTGGGGATCCTTTTCAATGTAAACAGAGTTGGGAGATAAATCCTGAGAACTCTTTTAGGCTAGAGGGGAAGAAATTGACGGTACAAGTTGATGTTTACTGTTTCTTACGGTGTTTCTAAGTGGTAAAAGTCAACTCAGACCTTTGATTATGTTTTTGTGAATAAAACATGAGCAAGATATTCAATATTCCTTGTGGCATATTTGTGTTTTATAGTTTATTATTTTTAGGTTCCTACAATGTCCCGCTGAGAACTCTAGCCAGCAAGACACAGTTTGTCATCGTCGCTGTCGAGTAAGTTCCCTCAGTACTAAGTTGAATTGCGCACGTTGGCTGTGATGAGGATCTCTAATCTGTATTGTTCGTATGTTCCCATCTGACAGATGTTACTCCAGATGCATAGAACTGTGGGATCCTAGAAGAGACATTGTCGCGTTGTCAAAATTATATAGAACATACTTAATTTGTATTATACAAGTTAACCTTTTAAAGGGATAATGGGATATGTCATTCTAGTTGGACATACTCTAGACAGCCGTTTTCAATCTAGTAAGCAACGTTACGAATTATTATGGCATTATTTGTGATACTAAATAGGTTCACTTACACATCTGAACCAGACTGAACTATTTTCACACCAGTGTCGTAAGCTGTTATAAAATTGGATTCGAAGGAAAACAGTGCCAATTTACTGATTGCATGTTAAGACTGCCTAAACATCATCCGATATCCTTCAGTTTTGATTGTCTCGAGAGTGGGTGAATGAATATGGCTTTACACCGCTTTAAGCACTATTCTAGCAGTATCATGGCGTGTGACACATGGGCTTCATGTAACTTTTCGAACAGGGCAATCGACTTGACGAACGAACGATTTGACCACTAAGCTACCCACTTTTCTGGAATACTTCTGACTGTGCAAGGACCGATGTGTACTCTTTAAATAGGACCCATTTGTTTTCTTTGAGTAATTTATGTTATGCAAAATGTGTACGCTCACTGTGTAATTATATTCCCAGCTATCGCACTGCCCCTCAAGCAGCGTTCCCTGCCGCCTACGACGACTGCCTTGCCGTTACCAAACATGTCGTCGACAACGCCAAGAAACTCAACTACAGATCGGACCTCATCATTGTCGCTGGAGACGGTTCAGGCGGGAACCTAGCCGCCTCCGTTGCCATAGAAATGAAACAGAAGATTGCCATGCAACTATTGATAAGCCCGGCGCTTCAGATCTTAAACCTTGGGACACCTTCATATCAAGACATGAATGACGTTCTTCCTGGAGTGACGAATCCACGAAGGGAGATAACTCACTGGCTCAACTATGCAAATCTGGACCAGGAACCAGGGTTCATTGACGACATGTTGAACAACGTCCACGCGTCAAAACACCTACACGAGTTGTATAAGGACTTCTTCAACAGCAAGAAGCGAATCCCAGCCCATATGAACGTCTCGGAACGCCACACATTGCCACACGTACGTACAAAACACGGAACGGCGTACAAACTGGACAAATTCGTCACTGACGTCCGTTTTTCTCCCATGATGGTCAAAAACACAAAGGGAATTCCTAACGCATACTTCATTTCGTGCCATTACGATGTTTTGCGGGATGAAGCTATCATGTATGGACATCGTCTGCTCGAGAGCGGGGTCAAGGTCAAATTCCGCCATTATCCCTCGGCCTTCCATGGTTTTGTTCTTTTCGCAGGAAGTAGTTTTTGGAAGTTTCCGGTTAGTGATAAAGCTGTTAATGAATTAGTTGACTTTCTGCAGTTCCAATACTTCAATGTCCGTAAAGAACGTACAGAATAGTAGAAGAGTCAATTTGGTATAGATCAACGCTACGTAGCTTCATCATCCGTGAATAAGCTGTCATGGACATCATGTATAGTCCGTTGGCTCAAAATCGGACCGATGAATTGCAATCTAACTCGAAAACTAATAAACATAAAATACTCAATGAAATGCTGATCATAATCAAAACATCCACCAACTCTGTGAGGTATTTGCAGATTTTTTGTCCTAAAAATAAAAAAGTTGTTTAACATACTATCATTAAAATATTGACACAGTTCACTATTTGTTACGAGGGAGGAGTGCAGAGAAAGTGACAGCCAGGTGTTCGAGAACGGATGGAGACGGCACGTCACAGGTTAATGAATAAATAACTTTGTCTGTGAACGTGCTTTTCGAAAACCTGGCTGTCCGTTTCTCTGCACTCCTCCCTCGTAACAAACAGTGAACTGTGTCAATATTTTAATGATAGTTTGTTAAACAACTTTTTTTATTTTGGGGACAAAAATTCTGCAAAAAAATCAGAGTTGGTATGATGTTTTGATTATGATCAGATGTCATTGTGTATTTTATGTTTATTAGTTTTCGAGTTAGATTGCAATTCATCGGTCCGCTTTTGAGCCAAACGGACTATAATGTTGTGTGAATCATATCACCCATTCAAGGATGTTGACAGGTGTACAGGGTTAAAAAGAAACAAAATATATATGTTGAGACAGGTATGTTTTACGTTTAATATTCTCGGTGTCTAGGATTTCTCTTTATGAAAGAATACGTTTCGGTTATCTCCTGAAGAAAGACAAAACAAAAAATACACAACAAAACCCGAGCAACTCAAACGAAGCAAGCATTTGTTTGCGTGTCAGAACTGTGAACTGTGAAGAATTAGAATTTCCCAAGCATTTTCGGTACCAGTATATTTTCCCACCAGAATATCCAAAAGCTGACCTCTTAGATTACTCGGGATGCTTGTGAAACAGGTATGAGGCATTGAATATGTGAGGCCATATATTTATCTATTTATTTATTGCGTGACTGTGTTTTACATTTGTAATAAAATGTAAGTGGAGTTTTTATCTCCGTTGTGTTCGATGTTGCGGGACCGCCTTCGTGGTGTAGTGGCGAGTGAGTTTACGCCACTTTTAGCAATATTACAGCAATAACACAGCGGGGGGACATCAGAAGTAGGGAATCGAACCCGGGTCTTCGGTGTGACAAGCAATCGTTTTAACCATTAGGCTACCTCACCGCCCCAGGGAAGTGGAGAGAACGTGTGCCCGGGTAGCGGAAGGCTGGCGGCTCCATCACCTGGCCCCTCCCCATCAAAAGACGTGAATGGATGGTATTTGACAACACAAGGACTGGTCAACCCCGGGCAAATACAGAGGCCCTCTTGTCGGTGTCTCAATATTTTTATATCAATAAATACCATGGATATCAAACTGTTATATGATGGTGCATTTTTGACACATGGTATTTATTGCTCTGAAATATTGAAGCAACGGCACAAGGGTCTGTGGGTCAGTATAGCCAGTATAACCTGAGTTTGGTATCCCTACAAAACTGCAGCACGGTGTCTCATGGGCTAGCACTTATATGTATAAAGAGAGCGTAAGTCCATACTGGTGCAAGTTAGTGAGTGAGTATGGTTTTATTTCAGCATTTTCAGTATTTCAGAAATATTACGGCGGGGGACACCAGAAATAGGCTCCACACATTGTTACCATGTTGGGAATCGAACTCATGTGCAATAGTTGCCATACCTCAGGTACGCCACTACACTCAGCCTAGATTAGTGGTTACACCAAGTGGTCTTTCTAGTTAATCAGTCACACTCGGTGTTTCCGAACTCTGACGAAGTGAAGCATTGAGAACGTATCCCAGCTAACTATTTCACGTTGTCACAACGTTATTCTGTGGACTCCCATTTTCGTTGTCACAACGTTGTGGCCTGACATTGTGATACGTCATTTTTACGTCGCCAAAAGATTAAAGTTATTTGATGCTAAGGTATTTTACGTTGTCCTAACGTTCTATTTAACGTTAATTGTTGAGTAGTTTCCCCAGTAGTGAACAGTACATATGAGATGTATATTCGTCATTTTGCATGTTTTTTGGTCGTGTTTTCTGAAGCTGTAGCTCAATAGTGGAGAAAGAATTTCAAGTGAAACGTTTTCCAGAAAACTCTATCGTGACACCAAGTTATAAGAAACGTTGTAATAACGTTGTGAGGAGCCCAAAGCATTAACGTTTCCTCAACGTAAATTTGCAACGTTCTTATTGCGTTGTGACATAACGTTATAAAATGACGTAATACTAACGTTGTGTCATGACGTTGCCAATCTTCAATCTTCCCACAACGTTGCGTGTTAGCTGGGATCTTGCCTCGCAAACAACCATAAATGAGCAGATTTTAAATGAAATCAAAAAAAGGTTGCGCTACATAACTGGGATTTACTTCCGACGACTTCTGTTGTGTGGAGGATTCATATTGTTAATCTAAACTTCCCAATCGTGGCGGAAAAAAGTGCAGCAGAACTGTTTTTGAAAGCTGGCATTTGATTTGCCCTGACACGAGACGTCCTTTATACACATTTTCACATAATTGAACCTCGCTCAAAACAGTAAACCAAATCATTTTCCGTTTGTCATAATAATGTATAATCTTTTAATACCTGGATGTGAGTGAGTGAGTTGAGTTTTACACCGCACTCAGCAATATTCCAGCTATATGGGGGCGGTCTGTAAATAATCGAGTCTGGACCAGACAATCCAGTGATCAACAGCATGAGCATCGATCTGCGCAATTGGGAACCGATGACATGTGTCAACCAAGTAAGCGAGCCTGACCACCCTATCCCGTTGGTCGTCTCTTACGACAAGCATGGTCTAATACCTGGAAGTACCATTCTTTGACAAGCATTTACAATTGTATGCACAAATCAAACTCACCAACAGTTTTCATGGTAAGTGCAGATTTGTGTGATTTTCCCCTGATCTAATCATTATGGGTAAGTATTTATTCCATGAATGACCTTAAATGTCCGTTTACTAAGTTAACTTGAACAGAATGGCCACAGAACTCCTGGCCCAGATGCAACAATAACAGCATGCAGTCATTTTAATGATTCGGGAGAAAAGCCATTAAGGCTCGGAATCAGCTGCAACAATAACAGCATGCGGTCATTTTAATGATTCGGGAGAGAAGCCATTAGTGCTCGGAATCAGCTGCAACAATAACAGCATGCAGTCATTTTAATGATTCGGGAGAAAAGCCATTAAGGCTCGGAATCAGCTGCAACAATAACAGCATGCGGTCATTTTAATGATTCGGGAGAGAAGCCATTAGTGCTCGGAATCAGCTGCAACAATAACAGCATGCAGTCATTTAAATGATTCGGGAGAAAAGCCATTAAGGCTCGGAATCAGCTGCAACAATAACAGCATGAATTCATCATGATTCAGGGGAGAAGCCATTAGTGCTCGGAATCAGCTGCAACAATAACAGCATGAATTCATCTTGATTCAGGAGAGAAGCCATTAAGGCTCGGAATCAGCTGCAACAATAACATCGTGAATTCATCTTGATTCAGGGGAGAAGCCATTAGTGCTCGGAATCAGCTGCAACAATTACAGCGTGAATTCATCTTGATTCAGGGGAGAAGCCATTAGTGCTCGGAATCAGCTGCAACAATTACAGCGTGAATTCATCTTGATTCAGGGGAGAAGCCATTAGTGCTCGAAATCAGCTGCAACAATTACAGCGTGAATTCATCTTGATTCAGGGGAGAAGCCATTAGTGCTCGGAATCAGCTGCAACAATTACAGCGTGAATTCATCTTGATTCAGGGAGAAGCCATTATAGGGCTCGGAATCAGCTGCAACAATTACAGCGTGAATTCATCTTGATTCAGGGGAGAAGCCATTAGTGCTCGGAATCAGCTGCAACAATTACAGCGTGAATTCATCTTGATTCAGGGGAGAAGCCATTAGTGCTCGGAATCAGCTGCAACAATTACAGCGTGAATTCATCTTGATTCAGGGAGAAGCCATTATAGGGCTCGGAATCAGCTGCAACAATTACAGCGTGAATTCATCTTGATTCAGGGAGAAGGCATTAGTGCCTGCAACAATTACAGCGTGAATTCTTCTTGATTCAGGGGAGATCCATTAGTGCTGGAATCAGCTGCAACAATTACAGCGTGAAGCCATTCATCAGCTGCAACAATCAGCGTGAATTCATCTTGATTCAGGGAGAAGCCATTAGTGCTCGGAATCAGCTGCAACAATTACAGCGTGAATTCATCTTGATTCAGGGAGAAGCCATTATAGCTCGGAATCAGCTGCAATTACAGCGTGAATTCATCTTGATTCAGGGGAGAAGCCATTAGTGCTCGGAATCAGCTGCAACAATTACAGCTGAATTCTTCTTGATTCAGGGAGAAGCCATTAGTGCTCGGAATCAGCTGCAACAATTACAGCGTGAATTCATCTTGATTCAGGGGAGAAGCCATTAGGGCTCAGAATCAGCTGCAACAATTACAGCGTGAATTCATCTTGATTCAGGGGAGAAGCCATTAGGGCTCAGAATCAGCTGCAACAATTACAGCGTGAATTCATCTTGATTCAGGGAAAGCCATTAGTGCTCGGAATCAGCTGCAACAATTACAGCTGAATTCATCTTGATTCAGGGAGAAGCCATTATAGGGCTCGGAATCAGCTGCAACAATTCATCTTGATTCAGGGAGAAGCCATTAGTGCTGGGAATCAGCTGCAACAATTACAGCATGAATTCATCTTGATTCAGGGGAGAAGCCATTAGTGCTCGGAATCAGCTGCAACAATTACAGCGTGAATTCATCTTGATTCAGGGGAGAAGCCATTAGTGCTCAGAATCAGCTGCAACAATTACAGCGTGAATTCATCTTGATTCAGGGGAGAAGCCATTAGTGCTGGGAATCAGCTGCAACAATAACAGCATGAATTCATCTTGATTCAGGGGAGAAGCTATTAGTGCTCAGAATCAGCTGCAACAATTACAGCATGAATTTATCTTGATTCAGGGGAGAAGCCATTAGGGCACAGAATCAGCTGCAACAGCAATAGCATGAATTCATCTTGATTCAGGGGAGAAGCCATTAGTGTTTCAATGTTTTTATTATGCACATGTACTTGATGATCTATATATACACTTGGTAACATTCATGACAAAAATATTGATTCTCACTCACACATGATATTTGAATGTAACATACTTTAGCCTGCTGTAATGCATAGTCTACACAATAAACAATGAAAGTGCTGAATGACATGTCCTGAATAGGGCCTTTATATACTGACAGAAATAAATAAAGTAGCACAGGAAAATTCATGCGTTCCTTTATTATTTTCCAGTTTTCATCACCAGCTTTGAATAGCGCTGTGGTGATGAAAACTTGAAAATGACAAAGGAACACTTGCACTTTCCTGTGATCCTTTGTTTATTTCTCTCAGTATATATTTGGTTTACATATATTTGGTTTAAAGAACCTGTGGCCCAAAACAGAAAATTGGGAAGAAAAAGAATCATCTAATTTTCTGTACTTCTGCCTAGTGCCAACAAAATAACTTTTTACATTTAAAATGAAAACCAATTCTAGAATTTTGCAGCTTAGTAAAAGGAATTAATTTGGCAAGGGAGAGTAACTCCATAAACATCCAGGTTTCTTTACAAGTCAGATTATAGCTTTTTCCATACAGAACTGAACTTTCTATAGAAAATCTGCAAAGCAACTTTAAAAAAAATGCCAAGCCAGACACTCCGCAAAACCAATACCATGCAATGTAACAGTGAATAAATCCCAATCCAATGACAAGCATATGAAAAACGTTAAACAAATCTTCACAGGGACGCTATCACAATTATTGACCAGTAAGGAAATATTGCGGAACACATAGGCAATCTTGCAGCCATTCTCAGCAACATTTCTCCCTGGCTAATTACCAATAGAAATCATTAAAACCAGGCATACATAATTTCAATTTCTTAATTTAACAAACATTTCTTTGGGAGTAATTTTCATTAAAAGACGAAAGATTACTCACTCATGAATTTATGAAAATATATGTTTAAGAAAATCCTTAATAACTGTCAAGTATGAAATGTTTAATCAAAAGGAATGTATTTATTTAAATAGAAACATTTCATGTGATAAGAGTGACCTTGACGAAATGATAAAATGCAATTATTCTGTTCATATAAACCTGAAGGCTGCTTCTCACTATATATTAGACATGGCTTCTTTTCCCGGAATTACCGCATTATAGGTTTTTGTTTGCTCCCAGGTTGTTTTTTTGTAAGTAAGACCTATTTCCCAGTTTTACTTTTTATAAGTAAGACCTCTTCCCAGGTTTTACTCTTTCCTAACTCTATATTAACATCAACATTCAAATTCAGATGATATGTTAGTGTTTGAAATCAATTGAAAAATATCGTCAAAGATCAACTTTAATGTGCAAATGTTTTCCCTAGCAGGATTGGAACCGTATATTTCAGATTCATAAGCGGACGCTTTACCTCACAGCCACCGGGCCAACAAAGAACGAGGGTTGAATTATTTATTTATAGTTAGGCAGTCAGTCATTCAATTGATTTTACTAGCGCTTCAGTTACTGTTATGTAGCTTCATTACATGATCATCTAATTATCAATCATTGATGGTTTATATGTATAATAAAGCACGCCTCCTCAGTTATGGTTGGGAAAGTAAGTCCTCGACCATCGGGTGTTACTTTCCCAACCATAACCTCGGAGTCGAGCTTTATCCTACACATAACAAATGGTCAAAGAAACTGAAGCACTAAAGACTGAAACCAATCAGCAGAATTCCAGAATATACGAGAGAGTATGGTGTTACACTGCTTTTAATGGAAGGGGAGGCAATTTCATCTATCATGGATTCAAACCCAAGACTATGCTTTAACCACTCAACCAACCCATGACCCACAAAAGGTGAGGACAATAACACTCCTTGACCGAAGACATCAGTTGAAGAAAACACATTGTATTAATGAAAGCACCATGATGGCTTTGCTGAACATACTAAATATATTGACAAAAACTTTCAAAAACAACATTCAACAATTATCTGCACAATTTGCCATTCACACACTTCATTTATGTGCAACGCGCCATATTAACCCATGATGAATGGAAATGTCATTTCTGACACTTTTTAGCTGTGTAACTAAATATGGTAGGCAAACCAGTGGTTGATAACATGAGCCCAGATCCATGTCATCTGGGACTGATTACACACAATCAACCCTGGCAGACCCTACTACAGAAACTGAGGACCCTTCCTGGTAATGATTCCTCGGTCGCAGAACAAACATGTGAACAGTTACACAATTTACGTGGGAGAGTCCAATGGCAGAAATTCCAACATCAACACATGATTTCGACAATTACAAACAACAGTCATTGCACACACTTCCAATATTCTAAGAAATAACATACGATTTGCTGCATGATACAGAGTAAAGAACTAATTGACAGCTGGTGAGCTCATGTATGGCCTAGTTTTCTTGCATATTAAGTAAGCACTGAAAATTTGCAACAAAACTGTAAAACACAATTTTGACTTCTTAAATCATATGCGAGTGTCGGTAATTTGAGTTTGGAAGGTAAGTCTGAATTATATTTGTATCCTGCTGCCATAAAATAAAGGATTGTTCCATAGGCCAGGGATGACTGTTTACACAAAAATATTCCCCATACTTCATACAAATCAAATGGATGGTCACCTGCTTCGTGCATTTCATAATTATTTTGTATCAACAAAATAGGCAGCAACTAAAAACATCAACAAATGAGTCCATGTGTTTTTAACAGATAACTTGATGCTTTGATGCATCACTTGAGATCACTCTAGCAGAATCTCAGCCCTGATCTCATGGTCTCCAAGTCTTGGGGAAATAGAATTCTGGAGAAAACCTAAACCACGAAAAGGAACATGATGATCAGGAGCTTAGAAACTGTTGTTATGTACAGCTACGAATCCCTCCTGCAGTACACTCACTTCGCCACAGATATCACATGGCAGCATGGGAATATTGTGCAATTTCTAAAAAACATTCAACCTCAAATAATCAAATATATCAATTTAAAGTATATTTTGTCAAAAAATTGTGAACTGGTATACTTAGTATATCTATGGATCAGCTTATCTTCAAATGTTTCTTTGTGAACAAAATTGCTTACAGTGGATTAGGTGAAGATTCAGCACATTCACAGAGGTACAAAGCCTTCACAGCTGCAAGATCAGTGTAGGTCTGTTTAGGGTCACATTCAGTTTTGTATTCCTTTGTATATTTTGCATTCCAAAAATGAATCAATGAATTGACATAAAACATAAAACAAAAAAAAATGAAAAAAAGGAGTTTTACTGACTAAATTAACATCATTTCCAAGGTCAACAAGTTGCTATTACAACAACAAAAAATATATCCAGAAATCCATATTTACATTACACTTACATAATTCAACAAATCTGAAGATGACCAGATAAATAAATCTCAGTTTATTATAATCATTATTGGAAGGAGTTAAGCAAAGATAGCAGGTTCTTATTTTTAGAATCGCAACTATCCATGCATTAACGTTTCTGCATCAATGTACACACAAAGACTCATTGCTGCTATGAAGAGAGTCTTATGCCCTTGTACCCTGCTGCTTATCAAATAAATATCAAAGCCATTTTGTCAGCATTTGCTGTAAGTATGGTGAAGATTTGTTTACTTTTTTCTGGGTCATCTCTTAAAGCAACAGTCAGAGTCAGTCTCCTTGAGTGAGTGAGTGAGTTTAGTTTTACGCTGCACTCGGCAATATTCCATCTATAGTCTGTATGCAGTGAAAACGTACCGGTGAATTTCACTTTAAACAAAAAAGTAAATCTAATAAAGTGAAATTAAGATTGCGAATCCTCATAATTTTACCTTGCCAATTGAACATTAAAATCTCAGAGTTTTATTCATCTTAGGATAAAAGTTGTTTACAAACGATCGTAGTTTCAAATGGCTATTATCGGTTTGTATTACAAGGGGGTAAGCGCAGTAGTTGGAACAGTGAAACAAATGCATGTGCGGTATGTGATGAGTGTTAACTTAAACCAACCCTACTTGTTCTCAGTGTTTCATTTAATGTGCATTCCCCCCTTGTAATATAAACCAATAATAGCGATTTGAAACTTTGATCGTTTGTTGAACAACTTTTATCCTAAGTTGAATAAAATTCTGAGATTTAAAAATTCAGTTGGCAAGGTAAAATTATGAGGATTAGCAATCTTAATTTCACTTTATTTGATTTACTTTTTTGTTTAAAGTGAAATTCATTGGTACATTTTCACTACAAACAGACTATATATATATGGTGGCATGTCTTGTTGAGTGAAAAAGGAAGTGAAAAAGGGAGTGATCGAGTTGGTTTAAGCTGCTTTTAGCAGTATTCCAGTTATATCACAGAGTTATATTAATAGGAAAAAAATTCTGAAGTTATGCATGTCTTAGATGATCAGCATTTCGGAGAAACAAGCGAAATTTGGTATGATGCAGACAACCCAAACACAATCAGGGAAAATCAGTAATCAGAGCCATTATCTTGTCAGCCCAAGGGACTCAACTCTAGACAATGAATTGCAACACCTCTGACAACAGGCACACTACCCCATCTCATTCAATGCCAAAGAGTTACCTCCCTTCCAAAAACTTGGGGTGTGTGTGTGTGTGTGTGTGTGTGTGTGTGTGTGTGTGTGTTAAATGTGGAAATAGACTTGGCAGTATCACAAATGAGCTGTCTTCTGAAGTTAATCATCTGAGATATTTTTAGGTCCAAAAACATAACAGTGAGTGAAAGAGTGGGTTGTTTTAACACCACTTTGGACAGTATCCCTGCTTTATCACAGTGTCTCAGCTTAATGTGGGAGAAAATCCTGAAGCAATGCATGTCACAGACAAGCAGGTTTCAGGTGAAACCACAAGCACGTTGCCTGAAGCGATGCATACCACACACGTGTAGGTTTCAGGTGAAACCACAAGCACATTGCCTGAAGCGATGCATGTCACAAACGTCACAAACGTACAGGTTTCAGGTGAAACCACAAGCACGTTGCCTGAAACAATGCATGTCACACAAGTCCAAGTTTCATGTGAAACCCACAAGCACGCTGTTGATATGGAAACATCATTGGAGAGAACCAGGATTTCAACCCACAATCCATTAATACAATAGGACTCCATGACTAATAGCAAAATAGGCTTGATCTTGTAAAACAGATGACAAAATAAAGAATTCATTCTGTTCCAAAGAAATAAACAATATCTGTTACATATTACAATTTCCTATAATATCAATCCAGAACTACTGGATCAAAGCAATAAGGTGACTTTGTCCATTCTCAAAACAAGAGAACAACAGTCACTACTATATGTACCCTTACTAGTGTTTTGGAACCATAAAGACTGTTTGTATCAATTCATTTGTGGCAATATCTAGTCTTCCACAGCATGGGTTAGGAAATCAAGTTTTAATAAGTGATTCATTTTCCTTCAGTTTCCACCCAAGTTTTGACCTCGTCCCCAATTATGACCCCTGCGATCATCACGGCCATCATCCTGACGCCGTCTGCTTGAGGGAGCCATTCCAAAACCTGCAACACCCCCTCTCCTGTTGGGGAAGTAACTGTATCTGAAAGAAGAAGGATATAATAAGTGTGTATGTAGTTATATATAATATCGGTGATAATACTATGACAATTTGACATGCAATTCCACCAAATTGTAATATTTTATCTCATCTAATTTCAATTAGATATTATAAAGTATGATTAGAATTTGAATGAACCACTATTCATTCTTCAATTTCCTGCTACTTACACTTCCTTGCATTATTATATTCACACATTCCATGCATCACTATTCAGACTTCATGTATTACTATTCACACATTCCATGCATCACTATTCACACATTCCATGCATCACTATTCACACATTCCATGCATCACTATTCACACATTCCATGCATCACTATTCACACATTCCATGCATCACTATTCACACTTCCATCGTCACTATTCACACACTTCCATGCATCACTATTTACACATTCCATGCATCACTATTCACACTTCCATCGTCACTATTCACACACTTCCATGCATCACTATTCAGACTTCATGTATTACTATTCACACATTCCATGCATCACTATTCACACATTCCATGCATCACTATTCACACACTTCCATGCATCACTATTCACACATTCCATGCATCACTATTCACACATTCCATGCATCACTATTCACACATTCCATGCATCACTATTCACACATTCCATGCATCACTATTCACACATTCCATGCATCACTATTCACACATTCCATGCATCACTATTCACACACTTCCATGCATCACTATTCACACTTCCATGCATTACTATTAACACATTCCATGCATCACTATTCACACATTCGATGCATCACTATTCAAACTTCCTTGCATTATTATTCACACTTCATGTATTACTATTCACATATTCCATGCATCACTATTCACACATTCCATGCATCACTATTCACACTTTCATGCATTACTATTCACACATATCATGCATCACCATTTACACATTCCATGCATCACTATTCACACTTCCATCGTCACTATTCACACTTCCATGCATTACTATTCACACTTTGACTGCCTCCATGGTGTAATGGTTAGAGCATCCGCCTGGAGAGCAGAAGGTTGTGTGTTCGATCCCCGGCAACATCATACTAAAAGACTTTAAAATATGGTACTTGTTGGTCCCTGCCTGGTACTAGGCATTAATGGGTACAACAAGGACTGGTCGGCTCGGAGTCAGTATAATGTGTCTGAGTGGGGCATTCATGCTTAACTGCGGCATGGTATCTCAGTGGGCTTGCACTATAAAACCAAGTTAAGTCTGGGCTAGTACAAGCAGCCACACATACACACAAATGCACGTCGTCATATGAGCTAAATATTCTCAAGGACGACGTTAAACTCCATGACAGTTCACACTTCTTGGTACAGCTGACTATTCACACTTCCATGCTTCACCATTCACACTTCCATGCATGGGTGACTATTCACACTTCTTGGTACAGCTGACTATTCACACTTCCATGCTTCACCATTCAGCTGACTATTCACACTTCTTGGTACTGCTGACTATTCACACATCCATGCTTCACCATTCACATATCCATGCATGGGTGACTATTCACACTTCTTGGTACAGCTGACTATTCACACTTCCATGCTTCACCATTCACACATCCATGCATGGGTGACTATTCACACTCCAATGCATCACTGATGTTTCACACACACTATAACTGTTTAACAAAACAGATTTGTTTACAGCTACTCACAGAAACTGTGGCACATTCAAGAGCCTGGCTCCACCGAAGTCCTGCGGGTACTTGAACATAAGGAAGAAGTAGAGATGCCCCACAATGATGCCTATCAGCTCCAACATACCTCTGCAATGGATAATTTTGTCTCTATATCACATTTATACTTCTATTACCCTATGGTATAACAAAAATGAAATTTTTAAAGTAAAATTAATATTTTTATACTTATCCTGACTCATGTTTATTTGCTTGTCTTCTTCTTCTGGCGAACCTAGTGGAACACTTGTATCTCCCAATTGAAGTTCCCTTCAATAAAAAATCACTCATTAGTACTGACCACGAGTTACCTCCCTTCCACAAGCTCGGGAACGAGGGCGCCACCCGAACCCATGTGCCTCACTCTCTCCTCATATACTGAGCCCAACACCTGAATTTCCAGGGAAATCCAAAGTGTTAAGTGGGGAGGACGGGAGGGCTTACCTCATGAGTCAGGATAAGTATAAAAATATTAATTTTACTTTAAAAATTTCATATTTTTTCTTATCCTGACTCATGTTTATTTGCTTGTAGAATCCTCCGGAATAGGAGGTGGGATTATATATACTATAATGTGATAGTATAAACTGTTGATAGTTTATAATGAATACTTTTATAAGAACCAAAGTAGTAAGCTTACAATATGCATATATGTAAGTTATAACAGAATTGTGCTTAAGGTATAATGATACTTTAAGCTGTATAATAGTAACCAACTACTGAGAGTTTGTTAACTAATACATGTTATGAAATGAACATATGACTGAGCTTAAGGATTGAAACTTAAGCTGAACATATATATAATAGTAGAGCTCCTAAGAGTTGTAGGCATATATATAGTATGATTATAGAACTGTGCTTAAGATATAATTAACTTAAGCAACCTAAATAGCCAAAACAACTCCGGTGAGTTTGTTAGCTATTACATTTTATAATGTAACCATAATGCTTAAAATATGATGAAACTTAAGCTAAGTATATGATAGTAAAAACTCTTTAGAGTTTGTTAGCTAATATACTTAAATGATATAAACACAGTACTGAGCTTTAAGATATGAATAAACTTAAGCTACATATATAATAGCAAAAACTCCGTGAGAGTTTGTTAGCTAATACATGTTATAATGTAACCATAATGCTTAAGATATGATGAAACTCAAGCTATATATGATAGCAAAAAACTCTTTAGAGTTTGTTAGCTAATATACTTATATGATATAAACATAGTAATGAGCTTAAGATATGAATAAACTTAAGCTACATATATAATAGCAAAAAACTCCGTAGAGTTTGTTAGCTAATATATTTATAATGTAACCATAGTACTGAGCTTAAGATATGATTAACTTAAGCTAAATATATATAGCATGTAGCTATTTAGTACTGTTATAAGATAAGTAAAATTCTGTAAGATGGACTTATCTTCTCCGAGGAACTGTCAACTGTTGTGCAAGGACAATGGGACCGAATAGGTGGATACCTGAGACGTCCTCGGTGGTGATATCTCTCAGATAGTGGTTGGCAAACACCATATCGGATCTCCAGAAATAACCCTTCATTATTCCAAAAGCATTTGTGTAGAGCAATTGTAGATGTTAGCGCTCTAATATTATGAGGATTAGAAGCTCATGGAGGGTAGAGTCCTACAGTCTTGTAGGCACGTAGTATGACAGTTCTGATCCAAAAGGAGATATAGTAGTACGTGAGACTTTCGCCTTCAGTAGCTTGATAGAGGAAATAAATCTCTTGCATTTTCCTCCTGTTTGGCTCGGGTGGAGATATATTTTTAGTGCTGTTACTGGCCATCGTGATAGATTCATCGTTATCATGGGGTTCAAGTATATCATCAAAGCGTGTTCATAAACCTCACTTGTGAGGTGTTGGAGCACTATATTCAGATCCCAAGTTGGGCGTGAACTTCCGTTTAATCCTCCAATCGAAAGCTCGTAGCAGGCTTGTGTAACTGGGTTAGGTTAACTTGACGCCCGCTCTCAGTTATGATAGAGCTATTGCTGCAAAATAGGTGGACAAGCTGAGCCTTATAAATCTTAGTCTGACGTAGATAACATAAGTAGTCCGCCACTTGAGGATGAGTAGCATATCTAGCTGTAAATCCTTCCTTTGCAGCATAATTGACAAAACTGTGCCATTTGTCATCGTGATAAGTTGCCAGTTGAGTTACGCAGGGCAAGTTAGACTGCTTTGCGCTCTGGCTGAATAACTTGTTATTCAGACACGCATGATACAATCCATACGTGAAGTTGGAATATATCTGGCTTTCCGTACGCTTGTTTGGTGTCGCGGATGTATCAACAGATTCGAGCACTCTGTAAGATGTAGTATTGGTTGTCCGATTTCTTGAATAAGAGTTGGAAACCACTTCCTCGCTGGTCAGTAGGCCGTGACCAAAATCAGATGGAGGCTCTGCTTTAGACTGATTTAGAGTAAACTTGTGAGATTAACGCTGGTATGAAAAGCATACGCGTGGAGACCTTCCCGATATGCTTAGTGCGCCTGTTGCCAATGCTAGTGGGTCTGGAACTGGCGTACTTAATGTTGTCAGTTGTTTGTTGAATCGAATGGTAAATAGGTCTATTAGTGTAGTTCCTATTTCCTTGATAATTCGAAGTGAATATCTCTGTATGGAGCATTCATTCTGTCGTGATGGTATGTGTGACCGAGAGAAGCGTCTGCTATCACATTCTTTGCTCCTGGAATGTGATATGCTCTGACATGTATGTTGAGATTGTTGATTAAATCGAACAATTGAAAACAGAGTCGATATGTTCGGGGACCTGGTTGAGCTTAGTTTGTTCACATAAAACGCCACTGTCGAATTGACTGTGTGAATCATCCACTGGGTATACTGTAGTAAGTTGCTCCAGTGTATTAAGGCGTTTATTACTGCTTGCATCTCTAGCAGATTTATGTGTAATTGCTCTCTTGATTGCTCATAGCCCTGATGCCGTCCTGTTGGCAAGATGGGCTCCCCAACCTTATAGTGACACATCTACGTGAGAAGTGTTATCGATTCCAGCTCTATTAACGAGGCGCCCTATTCAAACATTCGATCTCTTGGTGCATCATAGTAGATGAGGTTTGACCTGAACCGATGAATTGAACGGTAGAGATTCGTCTAGATGCTTGGTGCTGATGACTTGTAACGGATGTAATTGTAGTCTGCCTCTGTCTGTCATGTCTTGAGCTGAGCTGAAGTGCGTAACCCCAACAGACTCTGTCACTGTCGTGTGGTAGCGGAGATAGTAAGGCTTTTGAAATGACTGTTGGATCTTGATCCATGGTCCTCCGGGTACAATTATACCATTCTAAGCTGTTACAAATCAAAACCTAGCAATAGCAGATCTTGCAAAGGTTCTAGGTCCAACTTAAGTAGGTTTACTAACCATCTAGTTGTGTTAGTAGCTTGATGATGAATTCAACTGTAGTCTGAGACGCTTATGGATTTCGATCCATTTGTATCCCGGTCGTCGAGGTAAATTAAATTCATGGCGTGCTTGACGATGTAGATGCATAACCAGGGGTGACTGCCATCGTTGAACTTTATGTAAAAATCGCCTGACTGCCGTGTTCCTCGCCCTTATTTGACAGGGGAGGTCTCTAACCTCAAGAAGGCAGCCCAATCATGAAGGTTTAGATTAGCTGGACTGTAAGGAGGCTTGCTCGCTTCACTGATATATTGTTGTCACTTGCAACCTAAGTGTTGAACTGTGAACTATGATCGACTTCTCTGCGTAGGGCGCTGTCCATCTCGGTCCAATCAGAACAAGGCATTTTGATTCTGTAGAGTACCAGCGCACGTGGCGTCTGCGTGTATCAGGAAAGGAACCTTGTATAATATAGTGCCTTGGTTGATATTAGAACAATTGTCGGTCTTCACCGTAACTTCCTCGGGTTACCGGGTGACCAAGGGTTTCGAGGGTTGATGGTAAACGCGAAACCTCCGGCGAAAATACCTCGCCTGTAATATTAATGCTGGGTAAGTTATTTTCCAGGCTGTCGTGAAGTAACTTCAGTCTTGAAGATAATTCCAACTTCCTTATATAAGGTTCAATAACCTTGCAAGTTGTCAGCTTGTAGACTGTTAAAGCTGAACTTGTTGTACATATTACTTCTGAGGAAATCGTTGACGATTATGAGTTTTACTCGCTGTAACAAGACTGCTGTTCAATTTCGTTTTGAATTGTCTGCGCAGATCTGCGTAATGGTCACGCATGTAGATAATCGTATCGTAGTAGGTAGTCGGCTTGAAGATCCCTAATTAGGCTCTTCATCTGTTGATAAATCAATACAGCGGCGTTGTGTAGTTGTAAATAGCCTGTGCAATTGTCTTCGGCGTAGGCTTGTAGGCGGCATATGGCTTACAGTTGATAAACAACTCATGTGATGTCTTGAACGGACTGGCGAAAGTGGCTATATATGACGAAAGTGGCTAGTATATGGAGACCTTGGAGGAGACTTCCTCGGCTTAACGCCGGATTTCGCGAGAAGATCTCGGCAACGCTTCTAGATCTTCTGGGTGAAGTAGACTTTGAGCACTTAGCCTTCGCTGCCTTTCGAAGCGCATGGAGTCAGAGTCCGATCAATATATGGCGCTTGCTTCGCGAGCGACCTCTGTGTTTTACAGGGTGTGGGCTCGGCTAAGCCCTTCGATCTTAAATGATACCATCGTCTTCCTCTGACGTATGGTCGTGATGTCGAGCCTCGATCTGTAAGAAGATCTATGTGAGGACTGAGGAGAACGGACTGACGATTGGCTAGTGTGTATGTAGACCTTGAAGAAGACATCCTTCAGCGAAACTGTGGGCTTCGAGAACGGTGATGGCTTTGCAGGCGCTCTGGACTTCTCGAACGTCGAGGGCTACCGCTTAATGCCTCCTAGGCGTAGAACCACTTAGCCTTCGCGTCTTGCGCGAATGTCTGGAGTCAGTGTCCGATCCGACATACGAAAGTGCTTGCTTTCTATAACTCATTACATACGACAAGGTGCGTGCTGGCGAAGCGCTCTTTCCGCGAAAGCCTCTTGCAAAGGGTCAGGCTCTAGCTCCTCCTCGAGGCCCTGGGATACCTTATGCAAAGAGCTCACTCGGGCAGGGTTGCCCCTGCGGGGCTTGGCGTCTATGGGCTCAGGGGCCCTCACGAAAGTCAAGCGCGGGCTCTGGGGCCCTGTATGACTTAGTATGGGGTGGGCTCTGGGGCCCGTGGCTCTGAGGCCTCTGTAAGCCGTAACGGTCTTCCATCAGCCTCATGATTTGGTTGACCAGGTCGCTCTGGGATGGTCTCGCTGGCGTTGAGGGTGTCCTCTCTGTGATAGTGGCGGGACCCTCAGTTATAATCTCCGCGTCAGCGTGAGCATCTCTGATTGCATGTTGATCTGCGTTGAAGTGGCGGTAGCGTACTGGTCACTTCTTATGACATACATCTGGAATGATAAACGAAATGTCATCATCATATAAACATAATTCTGAATATCAGAAGCAAAAGTTGTTTTTTTATATGTTTTTTAGTAGCTTCGTTGGATTTCCTTTGACGAGACTGTAGACCTGGGGGCTCGGAGCATAACGTTGAAGACGGCGTGGGAAGTTCTTCTAGTTTTAGACTGTGATGAAGAAGGTCCTGGGAAGCAGGTCGCTTCTAGATATAGCGGACTCGTCCCACGCTTATCCCCGAAGGTAACTCAGGATATATCTGACTCGATCTATTAGCCATGACTGAAGATTGTTTCGAGATTTATCTGCCTTCCGTCTCAAAACGGAACATAAATATTTATCAAAGGCAGAAATTGGTAAATTAATACATAATTTACAACGAAACAAAAGAACATGGAGTAATGCAACTAGGGCATTTTAAATGTGGATCGGTAGCAGAGTAACGTAATTTACAAACAGTGCAGATTTTATTAACGCAAACTGCTGAGCAAACAAGGCTAACCGCGTGAATCAAGCAGCAGAAACACTAATAATTATCAATGCATGTTGAATAATGATACTAGTTACACCTCTATAGATGAATATAAGAGGGAACAAACTAAATATAAATAAAGGATATAGTGTGCAGGGAGACACAGGTGCTCTCACGTCTTGCTCACTGGGCGAAGAAGGAGAGAGTGAGGCACATGGGTTCAGGTGGCGCCCTCGTTCCCGCGCTTGTGGAAGGGAGGTAACTCGTGGTCAGTACTAATGAGTGATTTTTTATTGAAGGGAACTTCAATTGGGAGATACAAGTGTTCCACTAGGTTCGCCAGAAGAAGAAGACAAGCAAATAAACATGAGTCAGAATAAGAAAAAATATACGTGTTTCACAAATAAATATTTAGGTTTTAGGATTTAGTTTAGGACGTCTGCTCCAGAAACGAAAATGGGAGGTGGACAGAGAGACGGACATGCATGCTGATCTGTTTTACAGACAAGGGAGAATGGACAAGGATTCAGCATCAGGAACACCAATGTAGGCTGCTCAAGAAACTTGAACATACCCGTCAGCAATGATCATGTTGAAGGCCAGGAGCACCCAGGGCAGGTACATCGCCTGTAGATACAGAAACATTACATACATCATGAGGCTAGACACAGTGAAGTCTCTGAAAGTTACCATAACAACTTCACCCTCACAGGGATGGCAACAAAGAATCTATTTTCAGCGTAAAACTTAAGATTGTGTCTTCAAATGGAAGGTTCCAGGGGGCGATAATGAAATAAACTGGAAAATCGCCATCCCTCCCTTTCATGAGGTTGGAAACTCCCATCACTTTTGTTAATGAATGTCTACAGAATCAAAAGCATTTCTTGCCATGATGCAGGAAACACATTAAAATGTCCAAGATGTGCCCTTTGAAAATGTGCCAACTAAAGAATACAGAGCATCAAATCTTGTAAAATTTCAGAATACCAAAGCTTAATCAGAAGCAGTTGTAACTTAGACAATTTCCCTTTTTTTTTTCCAGAGAGAATTTTCAGATTGCAAATTCCATTTTGTGAATCGCTATGTATTAAGTACACATGTATGTTCATAATTGTCCATATGGTCATGTACATTTGTGTAAACATACACTGGTTCTATATAATAAACTATTGTCACAGGGTCCTATAAAATCAAAAACCTCAGTGTGCCCTTCAGAAACCTGGGCCAAGTTTCACAAAGGGCATTCTCTTCCCACAGAGATACTCAAGTCACATCTTCCCATGTAACTCTCTGTTCTAATACGGCCATATTTCCTGGTTCTCGTAAAATCCCCTGGCGGCAAAAAAATCGCAACATGAATTATCTCCCTTCTTTCTATCCAATCAGAACACGTGATACATCGACCTATAATATCCAATATGGCGCCAGTCATGGAGTTAGTACCGGTAGATCAATATGTGAAGGACAGATTTGCTATTTCATATTTAACTGAAAATCAGAAAGTAGCAATAAAAGGGGGGCCACAAATATCCCTCCTCTGCCGGGGACTTGTGTTGATGTGACACACAAGACATTTAATGGCTAGCTTGTCCGCTGTCAACGAGGGCGATGGAGACGCCATTGATCTGCCATTACATGACTGAGTTCTGTCTAGAAGAAAAGTTTGTGCATTGCGCAGGGGAAGAGGTTTTTGTTTTTTCCAAAGCATACGGAAATTACCAAGGTCTTGCGAATAATCACTTTTGAAACAACATCGCTGATTGCACAACTAAATCTGATTGCAACCAATCACGAATCTGAACACTCTCACCATGAAAGGGCAGTATTAGAACAGAGGTTATGTGGGAAGATATGACTTGAGTAACATCTGTGGGAAGAGAATGCAGGGAGGGATGCTGACACGATGACTGTCTTAACTCAGACATTACATCAACACAGACTTATGACACTTGATACATTCGCAGAGTCAAACAGGGACCTTGAACATATTTTAACAGTGTGCTTATTACCAAACCGAAATACAAGGAATTTGAAATCTTGACGTCAGTTAGCAACAAAATGATTTTGCCAGCATCTCATAGGTTTAAGATGTCATGGTTGCTATCAGTATTGGACAAGGATCCCAATATCTAGATCTGTTTGGTTCAAATTTCCTTCCCTCAAATATATTTTCTGTCCAAGAATACCAACAGATATATCAATCTGTTATCTGTGATCCTTTCCTTCCCCATCATGTTTACTTGAATACCAGCCAAACATTCATGCTTCGTGTTATCCACTACAGATTATATGAAAAACTATGTGACAATAATCAAAATGTATGGTTGTTTTGTTTATAATTTAACAATCTGCTCCATAATTGTCACGGTGAATGACAGTGGTCCGTAAATAATAGTGTCCGAACCGAACAATCCAGTGATCAATATTGTTAACAACAAAATAACAATCCCAGCTGTGGGGGTTAAATGACATGCAACCAACCAAGTCACTGAACCTGACCATTTAGTCATCCATTATAACCAGCATATGTTCCTGGGGATCTGTTTAACCTGAAATGGCCACTGGGTCTAAATATGGAGAAGTGAACATTAAACATGTCTTACCTTGAAGCGAGTGCCAAACCAAAACGTGACAATGGTATCCTTATTGAGCTGGCACCAGACATACAGGACACTTAGCACCATCGGATCCATAAGAAGCTGGAAGACAACACCAGCATCCACATTAAAGATGTATCAGATATTCCAGACAAGGTTCTCTTCCATGGGAAAATTACCATAGATGTAACATAAAGTGGGAATTTTCTCATTCCAATTAAGGACTGTTTACAGAGATTTGCTGTAGACTAGAGAGACATTTTACCTAAGAGCACATCCACATACATTGATACTCATACATTACTATTAATATGGTTACTTATAAATTGAAAAATCAAAATTGAGTGAAACACTCATGAAACCAAAATTTGAGTGGAAAAAGTAATTTCAGTTTCATGACTGGTGAAAAAACAAACCATATAACTTACCATGAGACCTGACATCAGTCCAATGATCTGTCAGTTGGTTAAGGAACATTGTTTCTTTCCTGTTTGGTTTTAACTGTGTGATATATTATTTACATATCAACTATCATATACTATCAACTCTAATCTACATTCATCATCATCATCACCATCAAGGATACAGTTAGGCAAACCCAGTTGAATATGAGCATGAACAGGTAATCAGCTGGTTTTCCATCAAACACCCCTGAAATGTACAAGAACACATCGAATAATTTCAGAAACATAAGAACATACATAAAAATTATACGTCTGGTGTTTGATATCACATGGCTAACCATATCATCAAAACATTACCGTTTAGTCACATGTTTGGTATCAGAACAACAGAAACATCATAAAAATTTAGATTAAGCAAATATAATCTTAGCGAAGATTAAGAAACATATCTGACCATTTTCCTTCATTGCAAAATTACTAACAAAACAACCTGAACAAACCTTAGAAGCAACCCATGTGTAAAAGAAGTAAATTTGTGTATTGTGCGAGTAGACTAAACCTTTTTTCATTAGAACAGTTTGTGTATGATGTTGTTGATGACAAATCTTTAACATCAATAATCATTAATTATTCTTCCCATCGACAATTATTTCTGATTATTGATCTCTTTCGACAGCTCTAGTAAAAGGATGGGAGTGAATTTTAAGAATATCAACAGATAATAAGAACAAGATATCAGAACAAACCTGGATATCAATTTCAAACAATGAATATATACAATGTTATATAATGTACACAGCTTACCTGTTTCCAGCCTGGTAGAATATGAATACAAGAAGTAGAGATTCATTAAAAAGTGAAATCCTCGTGGACCTGATATTGGGTAGTATAGTACAGCTGTCAGTGGTCTCCATATCTACAACACGGAAACAAACATCCTGTCATGATCTGGAAAATACTCCCTTCCTATTAGTCAATAAGAAATTTCAAATCACAATAATCAACTCTACTGCAAAAGCTGGTTTCACAGTGAATTAATTGGAAGTTAGTGTTTTTATTAGCTAAGTAAGTGAGTGAAGTTGGAAAATTACAATAGCCTACTGTACAAAATGCAATCCTTGCCAAAATTAGGACAATAAGGGTTTAAGAAAACAACTTAATAGACATGACAGATAACAACTCATTCGATATTCGATGTGAATTTCTACATTGTTATCAAGCTGAAATGACAACTTATGAAAGTACATTTACATAATATTTGGAGATAAGCAACAGATTAAAATTAACATCAGTAATCATGGTCATGGATAAAAAGTAGCACAAAGATAATTGGGTGAAGCTAGCTTGATAAAGGTTAAAAAATACACATGGAATGTTTATAAAACACACGAAACCAGAAATTATTCTCCATAAAGTGTCAGCCTTCTTATTTACTCAACAACTTCTAGAATGCAAACAAACGGTAATTCAACGATGATGTGTTACAGGGAAAGAGTATGATTATCATCAGCTCGTGATGAAACATACAAATATATATTCCAAATATTCTACGCACTTAAAATGACAATATTATTACAACAGACCTACCTGGAATCTGTAAATGAAGGGTTCGAATTGTAGAATGAACCAAAGAGGACTCAATATACCGAGCTTTCCAACCAATGGCACAACAACCGAACCTGTGAACCAGTATCTTGTCATCTGTGGTATGCTACGATACCAGTCTCCAATGTCACTAGATGCCATTTTTGTCTAGATACTTGCTCGCGAGTGCTCAATCAGATGGTGTTTCTCTTCAGCGTGAACGCAAATGAGAGAAGCTTGAAAGTAATTCTAAATCTACGTGGCCTTCACACAGTAACTTGCAACTCACTCAACGTGAGCGGAAGTAATATGTACTAATATTTTCCAAACAACAGTTTCTCAGAAACTTCGACATTGCATATTCCATCATGATTATTTTGGAAGTATTACAGTATTCTGAGTAATAGAGATATGTGAAGATTAAATTGAATATTTATTATGTTTCTTTAGCCCTGGTGAGCAGCAGCGGAGATCATTATGAATGTAAAATAGTTCTTATTAGTTGTAAGAACTAGCTGCATTAAGCATTTACAAAAGAGAAACCTACAGACGAAAATATAAATTTGATCAATTCTGTACGAAAGGACAGTTAAGTTAATTTGGGATCGGAGCACATTTCAGATTAGTTAATCAAGTAATAGAAGACACTGCTTTGTAGTAAATGTAAATGATAGACAGTTATGTGGTTAATATTCCCGCTGAAATGTAATAATTCGTTTTTGGTAAATTTGTAGTTAACCATCAAAACAAACGCGCCATATTGAAAAACATGTTCAATCACATCAAACACGGATTTTGATAAACAACTGGTTTTATAAAGAAATACAGAGTTCGCATATACAAATTTTGGTAGATCATTGATTACGAAGGGGAAATACCACGGATACAGGACCGTAAATTTCCAAAAAGTCCAAGAAGGAGGAAACGATCATGTTCGTTCGTGTTGTCAATGACAATCCTGATGCAGTGTTATTTTGAATATTTTCATGTATGACAGCTATAGGTAAATGATGCAGAGTGGACATCCGAAGTGTACATAACAGAACTGATCAGGAAGCTAGAAGAAAACATTCAAGATGCAGACACTGGACGTATGCAAGAAAACATCTGGCAAAATTTGGCATCGAAAACCGACGCCATCAAGTGATAATGGGTATGCATGACAAAAGATGAAAGCTTCTATCTAGAAACAGGAAAATAAACAAGGGAGTACTGCATTGTGCTAGGAGCACATTTTCACATTGCAGTTAGGTCTGCTTGGCGGATGGACCAACCATTGATAATTACTGATTAGCCAACCCTTCAGGACATGGGCACATAACACAAGTATCCTCGAGTCATCTGTTTTCGTTCAACATCTGTTTTCGGTCGGCCGTTTGCGTGTTCATTTCTCGCGGTTATTAGCGATATATTACGTCACCAGACAGGTTATTTTTAGCAGGAGGTCGACTGCTTCAGCTCTGACTAACAAAATGCTTCGTGTGAAATTTAGAAAGTTACATGATTGCAAACACATGTAAATGTTACGTTTTAGAACCGTGTTTACTAATGCATAAATTTTCATATAATCAAAATGCTATATCTAAAATATCGTCAGCTCCACCTTTTCAGTATAGTGTCGTCTGCTTGTTTATGGTATGACGTATCATTATCACATGACATATCATGTGGCGTTGCCGTCGTAAGAAATATATATGGAAACTGGATAGGGTCATCTCTTATTACGATTTTCCAAAATGCTCATTTAATTTTCGAAACTGCAATGAATATTTCTGTGTCATGGGCCCAGTGTACTCATCCTGCATGCTGTCATTGGGTCCATCTCAAGCTGTGCACCTCCGTATGTGTAGTGAGATCTTCTGATGAGTTTTGGCACCTTTGTCACCGCGAATCGGAGGAGTGAAACATGTCTGGACATGTGATGTAACTAGCAAAGTCTTATCATGATTAACTTTGACATGAAATTATTTCGACCATAGTTTCTAATAATTATTATTGGACCTATTACAAATATTCTTTTTGGACTGGATGTTTATCAACTTTATATTATAATAATATCAGCATAGCACGAATACTGCTATTAGATTTCTGTTTTACGGGGAACCAATGAAGTGAACGAAAACAGATGACGTCACTTCCGCATTCACGATCTTTGTGTAGCGAACTATGAGGCCTGCTGTGTGGGTGAAACACGAGGTTAATCCATCAGATACTTGAATATCATAAATAAATAACAAACAAATGAGGTAGGTTTGTTTATTATCGATTTATTTATGCACTTTATGTTACGTTGGTCGACAATCGTTACATGACCAAAAACCGAATACACAAGGATATTTAGTATTCATTAACCAAGTGAACATCACCCTATAGTTGACTATATGTAGTTGCCCAGTATGAAACCTGATAAAAAATTATACATATTGTCCTCAAATTACATTGTATTTATACATTAAAACATATTCATAACCTTATCTGAACTCAAAACTGACCCAAAAGAGAGAAAAAGGGTATATGAGATTATGACCCTAAGGATTGTGAAGGGACCACTATGGTGTTTAGTATGCAATTGGTGCCAAACTATGAGAAGTGAGTGAGTGAGTTTAGTTGTATGCCACTTTTAGCAATATCACGATGGGGAACACCAGAAATGGGCTTCACACGTTGTACCCATGTGGGGAGTCAGCATTCGTTGGTTTCACATTACTTTTCAACTCACTGTGCGCATGCGCAGAGCGCATGCGAAAAATATCCACTGGCATGTTTCCGGTTTGGTCGTATGTTTATCGATAGTGTAAACACTCCAAAGAAAACAAAAATGAAAACAAATATATAGTTTTATGTCGAATATAACTGATTCCCAATTGACTTATGAAACAGAGGCCGGGATTAGTTAAATAAATAGCTTCATTTATGTCAACAAGCTCTTGTATAAAGACATCTCACCACCACCGTCCTTCCTGCACATCCCTTCTCACAACTAAACAAACACATCTCTGATGGAATTGCAACCAAAATAGGACATCAATTATTGAAAAGCAGATGCAAATGGAAGTATGTACTCAGCTATGAACAGTTGTCACAACATAAATCATTTTCATAACAGCTTTTATTTAGAGTGCATTTACACTATCGATAAGCATACGACCAAACCGGAAACATGCCAGTGGGTATTTTTCACACGCTCTGCGCATGTGCTCAGCGAGTTGAAAAATAATGTGAAACCAACGAATGGCGAGCAAATACTTTAACCACTTGACTACCCAACCGCCCTTCAAGCTATGACGAATGTCAAGGGGCGTTTGACCTACTTTATATCTAACACTACTGAAAGTGACATGTGCTATGTGTAAGTGATGTTCATGGTAATGGAGACTAGTGGAAGAATGCAGTGGCAGTTAAACATGCTTATGATTGAACTACAAGTACAAGCAAAAATATCAAGTACTGTCTCAGCCAGATTTGAACAGCAGGCGACGGCAGTGAGTAGAACTTCCCAGTATGGCTTAGTTCCAGAATTTATCTATCTTTTTGGTGCACATGAACATAGCAGACTTGATCATTTGAAAGGTTTAGGATGAGACACATGCAGGAAGTCTGAAGGTGATCAGAGCCCTCACTGGATCTAACTTGTTTGTTATCTTCATGTAAAGTCTGCCTTTGATACCAATTTTGAAATCACTTTGTAACACATTAAATTATGAACTTGTGGGCATTGGGAGCCCAGTGGTTGCTACAGTTTAGCATGGAGAGTTGTTTTCCTTAAAGGCACAATATCACTCTTTTTCGACAACATTTTGGCCTATATTTTATATATTCGGGGCATATGCCCTTACAGCTTGAATGAAATTGATAATTGAAACTTCGAGGCAAACGGCTTCCAAACAGAAACACTTGCCATAAGTGCTGTGTAAACGATTTCTCCGTACATCAAAAACTGTCGCACGCAGTGTTATTGGTGTTTGCTAAACTGGTTTCAATCACAAGTTGTGCGTAGGATATTCGTAAAAAGTGCTCAAAGGGACGTAACTCTATGGGGTTCGTTTCAAATATTGTTTGGCCAGTAGACTGCGCAGAGAGTTGATTTAATGCAACGTTGCATTAATTCATTCAAACTTTTTAATTTGATATTGTAATCAAAATATGTAATTTTGGGGGGAATAAATTATATGGTAGCTTCCCTGAGGGCTGATAGTTAGTATTATTGAGAGAAATGCATTATTTATTTTTAGAGAAATGTGGTGTGACATTGTGCATTTAAATATGCCAGTCATTAACATTTTCATTTAATTCTGACTATGCCAACATTTCTTTTAACTTTTAATTGACTTTACGTATGTAAAAAGAAAAGCTTCTCTCAATTGTGGTGTGTGCATGACCAGATCATTTTTTATTCAGATATACATATTGATCACGTATTTGTGACGGTGATATTTCCATGGTTACTCTCCAGGTTGATGCTAAGAGTGAGCAGTAGTTTCGCAGGGGCGTTGTCAACTCCATCACACACGGTCCGCTTCCTACATGCATCATTTGATGCAACAGGAGACAACTTACTGGCAGGCGATCACCAAGGAAACATCTTCATGTTTGATATTAACAGAAACAGGTAAGTCCTTTTGTATTCCTAGTATATGGGGCATAAAGATGAATTCGGTTCCCGATACTATTCAATAAGAGCACATATCCCAGACTTCATTTTTCATAAGGCTCTTTCATCATGCTTATTACCAAATAAATTGTTACCAACTTGTTTTGTAGTACGGTAATTTGGCATGTCATGTATTTTGAGACAGGTTTCACTTCTGAATTTATCTTTCAGTACGGTAAATTGTGTTTAGACAGAATAGAGTGTCAAGTCTTGTAAAATCTTCATCTTATTAGTAGTGGTGGTCCGATTAATTGAAATAATCAAAGATAGGTCGCAGTGACTAAACGACCAAGCAATCGATCATGTTTTCTCATAATCGAATACAAACAATTCTGGAACACCTTTTGCATTAACAATTTTGAGCACTACAAGCTCGGTCCAAGTCATGATTGAATTTATCTATAAGACCCCGAGAAATTTATGTTCCTAACATACTAGTCATCCTTTAAAGATGTGCAATTTGCGTAAAAAACAACCAAAGAACTACAAGTTTTTTCTTTATGCTTTTGTGCAGACAGGAAAATTTCATAAATGTCGCTAACCAATTTTTTTCTTGATTGATCATAATCTTGTCTGACAGAGTAGAAATCAACCACAGTGAAATTGTTTTTGTTAGTCCATGAGCATCACATTATTCTTTATAATGTTTATTTAAAAGAAAACATTTTCTTATCTCACATGTTGATTCTGTGCACTATATATTTGTGTAAAAAGTTCCACAGTGAGTCACAAGTTCAGTCAGGTGGAATTGAATACATTTTGAGAAGACCTATAAATGAGCAATACTGAATAACCAGCCTGCTCTGTTTCCTTTGTATTTCACATGGGCACAATGTGTGAAGCCCATTTCTGGTGTCCCCATATGATATTGCTGGAATATTGCTAAAAGCGGGCGTAAAACTAAACTCAGTCAGTCAGTCAGTCCTTTGTATTTATATAGAGGTATGTATTCTGTCATAACATGGTCATGCTTTGACATTGATCAAATACATTTAGGTGGATGATTAGATGATATCTTTTCATACATTGCAGATTTTCCTTGGTACAAAAGACAGGCCATCCTTGCACAGCTCTTGCATTTTCTCTAAGAAGAAGGACAGAGTTCCTTGTTGGCCTGTCTGATTACTCCCTGAAGTGCTATGATACAGGTATGTTCATGATGTACTGTACTGTTCTGTACTGTAATGAATAACCCACCAGCCATGTATTATCCTCTTTGCCAGTCATGTAATGGTATACTGCATCTGTATCTTCTTGTAGTCAAGGTTTGGACACAAATGGAAAAATGGTCAAATGACAGTTATTTTGAACTGTCAAAGTATTCTGCTCCAATCAGTAGGAGTTCAAAAGTGAAAGTAGTATTGTCAATATTATGTCAAAAATCTATGTAGCATAAATTATTAATCAGCAAACTCACTTTTTATTCAAATTTTATGGTGGACCAGATAACTGTAACAATCGTTCAGACGTTCACTTCTGGAAACAAGCACCAAAATTGGCACACATACTCCTGGGGGATTGTTCTTTTGATAAAACCCGTTAGCCACCTAAAATTCAAGATGGTCGCCATTTTTCAAGGTGGCTGCCATTGAAGATACAGAAGTATTGCATTTCGCAATAAAATTGCAGAGACCTGTCCGATTTGAACGATCTAGGTGTCAAATCATACATTTTTGACTATGTAGAATCCGAATTTTGAACCTTGGACTCATTCACTGGCTTCCTTTGTACCATATATCAGTCCCCAAATCCTAATATTCTGCGAGATAAGAGGTTAAGATACGTCTGACTCTGCTAAACTGCATAGTAATTTATATTGCAGTTGTGTTTGAGGTTTGGTATGTGTAGCATCATTCTGTGCAAGGCTTCCAAACTCGACATGACACGGGCGTGGGTGGGGTGGGAGGGTCATTGAGACACTTGGACATTGAGAGACTTACAGCGGAAGGTGTAGGGTAGTAGCTCAACAGAGCGGATGTCAACGCACAACATTGCACACTGGAGGCACTGCTGTTGTGAAACTCAACATGGGTGTTAAGTATCAGCTGAATAATTGGTTTAGTATACAGAGCTCCAGATAAGATTCAGCTCATGTGGGTACTGTACCCACTGTATTATTTTGGAGTGGGTATTATGAATGTAGAGTGGGTATTTCATTTTCCGTTACCCACTGCTTTCTAATACAATGTAAGTATGTGTTTTCAGTCATTTTACTCACCTAAGTATTATGACTTTGAGTAAGTTTACTAAGCAGGTATGTTCTGCCTTATGTCATACCTAATCAAAACCAACTTAAATATAATGGAAATGATTTCATAAAAAATCACTCATCCTATACTGACAGTACAACACTTGTCCTATACTATACACCTGGCTGTCTCTTTCTCTGCACTCCTCCCTCGTAACAAATAGTGAACTGTGTCAATATTTTAATGATAGATTGTTAAACAACTATTTTATTTTTAGACAAAAATTCTGCAAAAACGACAGAGTTGGTATGATGTTTTGATTATGATCAGCGTTCATTGAGTATTTTATGTTTATTAGTTTTCGAGTTAGATTGCAATTCATCGGTCCGCTTTTGAGCCAAACGGACTATAACAGTACAACTTGATAGCAATCAATGTCTTTTTCATTACGCAAGCGATTTTTATAAATATATATTCAGTACGCATTTGTTTTAAACATTCTGCGTATCTAACATCTTAAATGCGTAATTGGTACGCAACAATTAATTTTCAATGCGTAATTCTATGCATATTTTACCCTGATACGCAGCTTATCGGGGCCTCTGAGTATAGCTAAATATTTATTTTAGTGTCCCAAATGCTATCTAAGTAGAGTACTTCACCATGTATGATGGTCCTGTATCTGTATTTGCCATCTTGGTGAATAGTTACCCGGGTATCACAATATTATAAATAATTATCTGTATTTAGTGAATCAAGGCCCAGGGGTTATCCTTTTACCACCTTGATCACAACCATGCACAATATGGTATGGGATATGACTAGGTTCGGGGATAAAAATATATGACCTACACCAAGCTCGATCAATCATCCAGTATCATTTAAGTCCTGTACGATCTGTACACCATCCAGGTAACTACATGCAAAGCAATGTAAAGCCCCCTTACTCTTGGCTTCACTATATGGTGGCGGCCTGTAAATAATCGAGTCTGGACCAAACAATCCAGTGATCAACAGCATGAGCATCAATCTACGCAATTTGGAATACGATGACATGTGTCTACCAAGTCAGTGAGCCTGACCACCCGATCCTGTTAGTCACCTCTTACGACAAGCATGGTTTACTGAAGATCAATTCTAACCCGGATCGTCATATGGGTTTGTGTACTGGGAACTAACAGAGGTTAGTCATCAACATCTGAATAGACTTCAAAATGGGACTGGGGCGGTGGGGTAGCCTAGTGGGTAAAGTGTTTGCTTGTCACGCCGAAGGCCTGGGTTCGACTCCACACATGGGTACAATGTGTGAAGCCCATTTCTGGTGTCCCCCCCGTGATGTTGCTGGAATATTGCTAAAAGCGGGCGTGAAGCCATAGTCAGTCAGTCAGTCAATCAATCAATCAATCAATCAATCAATCAATCAATCAATCAATCAATCAATCAATCAATCAATCAATCAATCAATCAATCAATCAATCAATCAATCACTGTCCACTCACTCACACAAGTTTAAAATAGATGCCTTCTTTAGGCTTCGATTTACGTAAACTTTAATTTGCCACAATCGTTCAGAAACGATTAGTTTTCAAAGAGCCGTTTGCACCGTTTTACGTAAAACCATATTCTCATTCACTCACTCATTCACTCACTCACTCACTCACTCACTCACTCACTCACTCACTCACTCACTCACTCACTCACTCACTCACTCACTCACTCACTCACTCACTCACTCACTCCTCCTCAAAATGGGACACTTTGGGTTCATACTTTGACAAATTACAACAAGTGATTACACTTTTCCATACAGCATAATCACTGAAGCCCATTTATGGTGTTCCCCACCATGATATTGCTGGAATATTGCTAAAAGACAATACTCACTCACTTCCATGCACAGATACTAAGGATTTGGTTGCCTGGATGAAGGGCCATGAATCAGCCATACACAGCATTTCTGTCCATGCGTCTGGGCGCTATGCCTTGACCACATCAGCGGACGTCGCTCATCTGTGGGACCTGGACACCTTCCAGAGGAAGAGGAAGCTCAACATCAAGGAGGATGTTGGTGTGTTACAGGTCAGTGAAAGGGTTAATAGGTACAGCTGATAACACATTCCAAGATATCACAAATTGAAGATTAAGTTCCTTAATATAACCAGCTAAAAGCTCATTTTGTAGTTATATAGGGCTATGCTCTAATCAATGAACACTCAGGTTTATTAATGAAATACTTAACATGATAATGATTACAACTGGAATAATTGTGGATTTGCTTTGACATTGTGTAAGTACCAGTTAGTCAGTTTGCTTTAATATTTGTGACTAGTGTTCATATTCAAGGTGAGGTGAGGTGAAATTGGGTTTAACGTCGTGCTTGAGAATATTTCGCTCATATGACGACGTGCATGCGTGTGTATGTGTATGTGCGGCTGCTTGTACTAGCCAAAGACTGAAGCTGGTTTTATAGTGCTAGCCCACTGAGATACCATGCTGCAGTGAAGCATGAATACCCCACTCAGACACATTATGCTGACTCCGAGCCGACCAGTCCTTGTTGTACCCATTAATGCTGAGCGCCAGGCAGGGACCAACAAGTACCATATTTTAACGTCTTTTGGTATGACGCGGTCGGGGATCGAACCCGCGACCTTCCGCTCTCTGGTCGGACGCTCTAACCACTACACCACGGAGGCAGTCCGTTCACATTCAAACTTCATACCCACCGTGATATTGCTGGAATATTGCTAATAGTGGCGTAAAACTAAACTCACTCACTCAAACTTCATACTTATTCATTATTTTGTAAGCCATATAATATTAAGATCTACCATAACTAAAAAATACCACCAATCTGAGAGTTATGCCCAGAATTTGAGCACTACAAAAGACTGAAGTTCTAAAATAATATCCCAAATATTTCATCTATTTTGAAGATTAGAATCATTAACAGCCAAATAGTTATGAAGGACACAAGTTTATAAATGATTCTGAACTTTACCCCACCAGGTGTTCTTCCTGCCATTGAGCAACACAATCATAACTTGTTTCCGTGATGACTCGATCTTCGCCTGGGAATCTGAGACCCTGGACTGCAGGTTCCAGCTGCCTGTGCCTCCTGGCAACAGTCCACAATACCGAGCATTTGCAGCTACCAGGTACAGTTGTCTCCCCTTATTCTGATTGTTCACTGTTATTGTTTGTGGGATTGTTGAAATGCTATTGTGTTATTGTGAAGTTTGGTAATTCCCTCTTCATCAACTGTTCCTCCTTGCTCAAGTTTGTGCTCTGATCCTGCAGTCGTTTTTCTCTAGAACACTATAACATGTCGAAGATCTCTCACTCACTCACTCACTCACTCACTCACTCACTCACTCACTCACTCACTCACATCAAGTGTGCTACATTGTGGCTGCCTATTGATATCAAGTAGGTTGCTGTTATCAATTCTGATTCACCCACGTTTCACAGATTGGAATCCTGAAAATGGTTCCTGAGAATGGTTAGAACACACTTGTTGTTAGACCCAGGGAAATCTCTGTGTATACTAGCATCACTTGTTATGTCTTACAGAGATGGGCGTGTTCTGGCAGCTGGGGGTCGGTCACGCTTCGTTCACCTCTGGTCACTCGACACCAGGCGGCTCCTACGTATAGTGGAGCTGCCCAACAAGGTGACGTCCGTCAAGTACATGGAGTTTGTCCCAGACAACTTTCAAGGTGGAGTTGATCAGGTATGCAACACATCAGTAATTGTAAAAATAGAAATACTGAAAATAACACCAGGTGGACACTGGATATTGATACTTCACTGACACCAGACTATTGCTTTTGAATTCTCAACACCTTGTCCATCCATGCTCATCGGTTTCACTGAGAGGGTAAGCTTCAGTGACTTGCATCTCTTTGGGTAGTCTTCCTACATTGATCTGACATGTCATAATATTCAATACTGTTTAAAACTGTTTTAAGCCCAGCCCATGTATGTGTTACTGGCAGACTGTGCAGTTGTCTCATGTGCTGGCATGTGCTTTGCAGAGTTACATCCCTTTGTTTGATGGAATAATTCTTCATTTGTCAGCCATGGGTTTCAATAAGATGGTAAATGACTAAGACTTGCAAACTTTGTAAATTTTCTTACATATTTTTCACAGGGCATGAATATGATTTTTTTCTAAAGATTTTTTGATGATATTTCTTCCAATTTGTTTACAAACATTGTATCTACATACAACTGACTGTTAACATGGCTAAGATATCCAGTGGCAGATTTTTATCTGTGCTCTATTTTGACAAGCGTCCCTGCAAAATATTGTTGATTTATGGTATTGGCCAACCACCTTTTTGATGACATGGTCCTAGGTACCTGGGCCCGTTCCTCAAAGCGATCAGAAGCGCATAAAGTTGATCGTAACTCCCATATTTTAACATAGACTTACGACTGTTGTAGCGATAAGCTTTGAGGAACGGGGCCCTGGCCTTTACCTTGTAATATATTGCAGCCAAAAGTTTGATGAATGATGACCTTGACATGTGCCTTATATTTATAAAGAGGTTGACATCAGTTAGCTCATTTGATGAAGTTGGCCAGGGTTTTAAGGTGCGATAATTCGCTGGTCAGTTTTATCATTTCATAATCGTAGGATTGACAGGTGATGTCAAAACCCACATTTGCCTCAGTTGTTATCACGGTTATACAGTGGAATACTTTTATAACAAACACGGATATAATGAACTGAAGGCTATAGCGAACTGTTTTAAAAGTCCTGAATAAACCTTATATTATCATATAAACTAGTGAGTAGCTGTAACTTGACGGATATAAGGAACTAATTTCAGAGACTTGATGCTATAGACTTTCCTCTCACTTAATACAGACACTCAGTGATCATGGAGTAAATTGAAAATATATACCGTAGGTTATACAGTGTGTGAAGTTATGTACGTCCCTGGGATAACCAGACTTGATGCTATAGAATTTGTATCTTTAAATTGTAACATGAGGGTTACAGCAAGGACCCTGGGCTCAATTTTTCGAAGCTCTCTTAGCTCTAAGATAGTCATAATGTTAATGTTAATGTATGGCACTTTACGACTATATTAGCTTGTAAGAGAGCTTCAAAAATCTAGGGCCTGATCCCAATCCACAAAGCGTTAAGTAACATTACGGCCTATCATATATTTATACTTTATCATAGGCTTATGAATGGCATATTGTAATGAACGTTTTGTGGATCAGGCTCCTGGAGCGATCGTAGCGTTTCGACTGTCGTAAGTCTTATGTTTAAGTTACGATCATCTTAGCACTACAATGGCTTTGTGGAACGGGGGCCTGGACTTCAAAGTGTAATTTCAACCCCAGTATATACATTTGTGTTGCAGGTCTTGGGGGTGTTGTGTCAAGATGGAATAATGAGATTCATCAATATTGACACATGCAAGCTTCTGTTTGACATCGGCACAATAGAGAATCGTGTGTGTAATGCTTCCATAAGCGCCAATGGTCGGTATGTTGCCACGGTGATGGATGATGGCAATCTTCATCTGTATAGTGTGCCAGCCCTCTCCTCAGAACTCAATAAGGTAAATCAACCTTGCAGATATTGAGAGCTTGTGTATTGTTATTATCCACTGCAACACGTTTTGCAGGGGGGTATTATTTTGGACTCCGTCCGTGTGTCCGTCTGTGCAAATTCGTTTTTCCAGAATATAAAAATATTCAATATTTCTTCACCAAACTTTGCACATAGATAGGTCTGGTGGTGAACTGGTGCCTTTTGGTAGTTTTGAAATTCAGAATAACGTATCTTTTGCGTTTCCATGGCAACAACTTTTACTTTGACTGAAATTGATGGTAGTGTTCTTTTCTGGAGCAGAAGTTTAAAACCATTCAATGTTTTTTCACCAAACTTGGCACATAGATAGGTCTGGTGGTGAACTGGTGCCTTTTGGTAGTTTTGGATTTCTGAATAAAATATTTTTTTGAGTTTCCATGGCAACAACTTTGACTGAAATTGGTTGTAGAGCTCTTTTCCGGAGCAGAACATTAAAACCGTTCAAGTTTCTTCACCAAATGTGGCACATAGATAGGCCTGGTCATGAATTGGTGTCTTATGGTAGTTTAGGATTTCTGAATAAAATATTTTTTGCGCTTCCATGGCAACAACTTTGACTTCGGGTGACAGTGCTCTTTTCCGGATCATCAAGCAAGTGATGTAGCGAATATGGATTGAGAAGTATTGCTCCTATTGTATTAAGGAAGTTGTTCAATATGTTCTTATCCTTCAAAAACAAGGATCTTTATAGAACATTTTTGTATCCAGTAACTTTGCTGTTTCAGCCACCAGCTCCCCTGGTGAAGGTTGTGGCCTCCAACAAAATGTCAGACACAGTAACCACTGATAATGACAATGAGAAAAACCTTCACAAGTCTTCCACATCCTTCTCACGGAGGAGGCGACCAAAGGGGCGACAGACCCAGGATGATGACACCGTCAGTAGATAGTCATAGATTGCAGCTATCATCGATTTAGAAACATATTTTCAATATGTTGTAATCTTACCTTGGCCTTTGTTAAAAGGAAGCTGAATATACTCATTCATATCATTGAGTTTGTGTACGTTAGGTTCCTCCATTAGCGAAGGACCGCCTCCGAGGTTTAGTGGTTAGAGCATCCGCCCGGAGAGCAGAAGGTCGCGGGTTCGATCCCCGACCGCGCCATACTAAAAGACGTTAAAATATGGTACTTGTTGGTCCCTGCCTGGCGCTCGGCATTACTGGGTACAACAAGGACTGGTCGGCTCGGAGTCAGTATAATGTGTCTGAGTGGGGTATTCATGCTTCACTGCAGCATGGTATCTCAGTGGGCTAGCACTATAAAACCAGCTTAAGTCTGGGCTAGTACAAGCAGCTGCACATACACATACACATGCATGCACGTCGTCATATGAGCAAAATATTCTCAAGCACGACGTTAAACCCAATTTCACCTCACCTCCATTAGCGAAGACATATGGCTGCTTTACAGTGTAGTAGGGTTTGTATATTCAGTGAACTAATAAGTCGACTGTGAGGCGTTTGAAGGTTAATAGTAACATGACTTATCACACCGGGTACCCACTTTCTGTTTGGTGAACAGAGGCAATTTTAAACACATTCACTTGCATAGGGTGAGACCACATGTGTCACATGTCATGTCACCAGGGAGACTATAAACTCAACATCCTTACTGATTTTCATTCATAAATATTTCATTTGATATTTGAAACAAAAATAGTATGTTTTCATTATCACATCAACTGAATATTTAGCCAAACAGATAACCATCTAATAAAGGACACTTATTGCAGCCTCTGTCATTTAGCTTGACAGGAATTTCTGTTGGTGTATTCTTCTGTACATATATGTCAACCTTGGTTATCCGATTCAAATATTTCAGGCAAGTCTACCAGAAGGGCTGGACATGGACAAGCTCAGCGCTATTCTGAAGGAATTTGGCGAATACCCATACAAATACAGGTAGGCGGCCTTAGTAGGGCAGACATGGATGATGAAAGATCATCAAACTACATTGTAATTCACAGGACATCAGATCACTTATAATGCAAGGGATTAGGGGGATGGCTTGGGTGGAGTGGGGTGGGATGATGTAAGGCGTCTAGCTGTAACACTCCAAAATGTTTCTGTGGGTCCCAGACATGGCAATGGGACCCCAGAGGACTACCGTGTCCATAACAACAGCTGTTAATTATGTGAAGATTTAGGCTTATTCAGTGGGACTTTTCTCGTTTGTAATGCACCTTCTTGATTAATTAAAGAATATGGGACTTGAGAATGACATTTATCATGCATGTTGCTTTGAATGGTTGTATGTAAATCGGCTTTCATCATATCTTTGCATCCCATGGGATTTCGAGTGCAAATTGCTTGCATCCAGTCTTAAATGTTATGTGTATATGATGAAGTATTTATGCCCAGTAAAACCTTGTTAATAACCTTCTTAGCTTGTGTTCTGCTCAGATTTAATAATAGTAAATAGGCCATTTATATAGCACCTTTCCACGTCACAGCGATATGCTCAAAGCTCTTCCTGAGCTCAGGTTAAAACTATATACAGATGTTTGGTACAGATGATTAAAAGTCACTTTTAGCGGAGAAATAAATGAGTCTTGAGTTGTGTTTTGAATGTACTTAGGGAAGGAGATGATTTAACTCAATTGGGAGAGTTCCACAGAGTAGCTGCTGCATATGAAAATGTTCTTGAGCCAAATGATTTTAGATTATAGCTCGGGACAGCAAGTAACAGTTGTTGTGTTGAGCGTTGAGTTTTTTCTGGAGAGTAATGTGTCAGTAGGTCTTGAAGGTAGGAAAGGTCCTGAGTTGTGGAAAGACTGATAGGTGAGGCAGAGAATCTTGAAGTCAATCCTTTCACGAATACGGATTTATGATTTTGATGTATATTGTGCAAAACAAGTTAAAAATTATGACAAATTAACAGTACAATGAGAAAGAGTTCTCTTTACCTTCTTTGAGTAATATACATGTGCAGCTTGGTCAGTTCTGAACGTAGAGTGACCACTTGCTGTCATGCATGTGTAGAGTGAATTGTGCAGATGTCTTAGAAGTGTTAACAGTAGCACCATTTCATCAGCATCAACATGATCAATGCATTGTAGGTTATTGCTGTATCAATATGTACCTACCCAGTTCTAAGGTTCACAGTTCAGCATTCGTCACTGCACACCAGGGTACCAATTTTCTCAGATTTACTTTACTTGGTGCTTTTAACATTAACAAAGGCAACTCCTGCTCTCAGGAAATAGTGTCACCTATCATATTGGATTCAAACTTGTCAATGTGAACATAGCAGGGGTGGATCCACAGAGGGGAGGGGCACACACACAACCCAACCCAACCCCATCTCTTTAACCCCGACACCCACCCCCAATTCTCTCTCACCCGAAATAATTTTCCCTGAGGAGCATTTCCCCCAACCTTTGGACTTCATGATTTATGTGCACCCCACTTCTCAAAAAACCTGGATCCTGCATAGCATTAAAATACTAACAAAGAGTTAAGAATAAATTTCACATATCCGGACAGAAATGTTACCAGACAGGACAGCAAGCAGGCATCTATTTTGGACACTGCAACTGCCAGGAATCTTACACATTGGACTTACCTGTGTCTGCAGAATGTTCATATGGAGGTCGGTCCTGCGGCTGCCAGAGAACCATGCTGCTTATGGTGCCCTTGTGGACAAGGGAGCTCACCCTGCTTACTCCAAACTTCATGAAGCCTACCCTATAAAGAGCCGAAAACTGCTGAGGGTACTTCAGAGGTCAGTATTGACAGTTTGTTCAGCTGATAATGATTTAAACAAGAAAATATATGAGTGAGTTTGGTTTTACGTTGATTTTAGCAATATTCCAGCACTATCACGGCGGGGGACACCACAAATGGGCTTCACACATTGTACCCATGTGGGGAATCGAACCCGGGTCTTCAATGTGACGAGCAAACGGTTTAACCACTAGGCTACCCCACCGACCAAGAAATTATATAAATATTTGAAAACTGAACAAGCTCATGTATAGTTCTGCTGGTGTGTGATTCAAATTTGCCATGTTTGTTTTTTATCAAGTGTATGCAATAAAATTACATAAGACATTAACATAAGGCTTTATGAATGTATTTACCATCAACTAACATCGTAATGTTTCACCACTGTTTCAGAGTCCTGTCAGCGCTAGCACACTGGTCACCAATATTTGGGGAAACTCAGTATCTTCCCATGCTTGCCTTCCCCTTCATCAAGCTCTTCCAGAACAACCATCTTGTCTGCTTTGAAATCATTGCTACTCTCTTAGGTAAACATTTTGAATAACTTACCCCCCAAACAATAAATAAGCTTCATCAAGACCCTGGGTGGCCCATTTTTCTAAGCCACCCAGAGTTGTATCCTTTATGTTGATAATGACTTTCAATTCTAAACTTGTAGCGGTTATGATCATTGGTCTGTATAGCTGACACACCATATTATACCAGAAATACTTTTCAGACAGTGTTGAGCTGCAAGTATCTGTAGAAAGGTATTATCCTGATCTGTGCCTGTAATGTAATCTTTCTTTGCTGGGAATGTCAAGTGAGGGATGTGCAAATCTGTGCACTGGCCATGGTGACATTGGTAAAATGTGCCCATTCACTATTTTAGGAGTGAGTGAGTTTAGTTTTACGCCGCACTCAGCAATATTCCAGCTGTATGGTGGCGGTCTTCAAATAATCAAGTCTGGACTAGACAATCCAGTGATCAACAGCATGAGCATCGATCTGCACAATTGGGAACCAATGACATGTGTCAACCAAGTCAGTGAGCCTGACCACCCGATCCCGTTAGTCGCTTCTTACGACAAGCATGGGTTGTTGAAGATCAATTCTAACCCAGACCTTCATGGGTCACTATTTTAGGAAATAGTTACTGGGGCGCTTTTTGGATCAGGGCAATTAATGCAGCATATAAAGTAGATGTGGAAGTTTTGGAAGGATACCAAAGTAGATAGTGTTGGGGTTGGGGGTGGGGGACGGAGCATCCCAGGACACATTTAAGTAAAGAGATTATTCATGCGATGTTCATTAAATGTATGATTATGTTACAGGAAACTGGGGTGGCCACTGGTTTGAGTATTTCCCAAACCCTCCAATAAACGTGTTGGCCATGGTGGAGAACATCATTGCTCACCATGACCAATACCTCCTGCAGCACTTCGTCAAGTGCAAGGTCACTTCACAGGTGAGTGAAGAAATGCAGTGTTAATTCTACTGTTGTGATGAATTAGATAAATGTGTTCTTACTGTTGACTATTGGTGAATCATTACACACCTGTGTCTGGATGTCCTACCATGAGAACTACAGACTGCAACAGTCAGTGTGTTGTGTTTTATGCTGCTTTTAGCAATATTCCAGAAATATCATGGCAGAGGTCACCAGGAATGGACTTCTCACATGTGGGGTATAGAACCTGGGCCTTTGGCATTACTAGTGGAGGGTTTGACCACTAGGCTTCCCCATGACCACTCTATAGCTCAAAACAACATAAGTTATGGTCTAATGCCTGCCATAGCTTATTTATGCAGTCATACTTGACATCCAGCTTTTGGACAGTTCCCTTTTGTGTCCATAACACTGGAAGAAATCACTAAAGTGTTTAATGTTTTGTCCTATGTACCATATGAATTTGTAAGTTCTGGATTCAATTTAACATTTCAATATGGTTCATACCAAATTATTTCCAAAAATTAAAACCGTAGTGGAGTGAGGTGGAAGGGTGAGAAGAAAATGCATGTTTATATATGCTGTAAACACACAGAATTACACATTTCATGGCCAATGTGCCAAGACGCAGGAAAAATATAAAAATTTAAGAATTTTTTTCAGGGGTTTGACTTTAATTTGCTGAACAAAACTCTGACTAATCTGGATCAAAATGCAATCAAACAACCTATACAGTGTCATTTATTTAAATTTTGGTCATAATTTAAATGAACATGGGCAAGGTTTTTTATTTTTATTTTATTCCATTTCAATTCTCAGATAAATTACACATGACATAAAAGACAATATATATGACATCATTGGGGTTTTGTAAGGGTTATAACAGATACATAAAATATCATTAAAGTTTCTGTGGAGGGTATATAAAATTGTTTAAGGTTGAATAGTGTGATTGTAGTGGGTGGAGACTGGAAATATCAGCTGATATTATAAGAGTGCTTCAATGCTCAGTACATACTAAGGTTCCACTTCCTTATAGAGGGATCTAAGCTATTGTTTTTCCTAGCTATATATATTTTTCAGTTTTTCATATATCTTTTAATAACTTAAGAAATCCCTCAAGAAAGTGCATGTTGATTAATACTTGAACCATAAATGAATCTTTTGTCTAGAAGTATAATATGATTTAGTATTTTATTTTTGAGCACATTCCAAACATGATAAGGAATTTTGTAAATGTGACATTATTACATGGAGGTGGGTATTTAGAAATTGTTCTACATTTTGCAAAAAGCTTTTAACTAAATCACAATTAAAAAATACATGTGATATGTCTTCTGAGGTAATTTTACAAAAATTACATGCATCGATACCAACTAGCCTCATCCTCAATAGTTCTTTCTTTGTATAAATTATTCTGTAAATAAATCTGTACTGAAAGTCTAACAGCTTACAATCATTTGTACATTTCCTGTAATATCTGAATACATCATTCCAAATTATATCATGCTGAAAGACAGTATTCTGACACTCTAGTACCTTAGGGGTATTGTTCTTAAATGTTCTTAACATTTGAGATCATATCTTGATAAACACATGGGCAAGTTATATTTGTAGAACAAAGCAAGATTTATGTGGTCTAATGAGTTTATGCTGATCATCATCATCATGCTGCTACAGTGTTAATACAGGGATGAGAATCCTCCGCAGATCCGCGGAATTCCGGCAATTTCATTAGGCCAAGGGTAATTTTTGTGAATCGTCTAAATCCGTTGACAATTGTATGAATGTGCTTCAGCAGATTAAAATTTTTTAATGGTTGCTGTGTTCATGATATTGTCATTTCTGAGCCAGTTTTAAAGGTCTAAAATGCCTAAATATTGGGAGCCTTGGCTAGTTTTCAGAGTTTTTCTCAAAACTTCATTCTCATCCGAGTTAATATCTGGTTTAAACATATTTGTATTTCGCCAAAGCAGAAACCTGGATAGGCAAACAAGCCTAGTGGCTTATATAAACGCCGCTCCAGTACATTGTTTAAAATTAATAGCTGGATACATAAATGAAATAATTTGACAACAAATTGTTAATAACTATTACCTGCTTTCTCATAGTGCACCTTAGCAGGTGTCATTAGATAGAACAATAGCCCAACTCACACCTGTCAAATTGGTAGATTCACAACTATGTGACATAAAATTATCACACATCAGAATAATCGTCCCCATTCCTTACTGATGAAATTCAATTGACTATCAACTAACAGAATCCAAACTGAGAAAAACAGCACTGCAGTCATGCAAGTGAATACAAATCACCATGTCATCATGAATACTTGAGAGTTTTTGTCAGTAAAAACTTCTTTTATTCTTGGTAATTGTGTTTTAGAGTTAATTCTTGATCCTCAATAAAGGAACTTGTCCATGTAAACTGCCATTTACTCACTTCTTACAAAATCTAAGTCTTCAGTGTCATCATAGATGAATGTTGAGTGAAATATTTTTGAACTTACATTAAGAGGATATCCTTTTAAAAAGTATGAATTATATTGTCAATAAAATTTTGAAACAATTGTGAAAATATCAGAAAAAATAGCTTGATCACCGATATTCTAAGATTCATGATGAAATCATGGAACACAATGCGTGTTTGTCATATTAGATCTATATCATGTTGCATGTAACATGTTGTATTTGCAAGACCTCACTACAGAGTCTAATTATTTATTTAAAAAGAAACATTTTCATAGTTCAATTTCTGATCTGATCATTGTTTAGCATGATTAAACAACAAGGTGATAGCATCTGAAATACTTTACATAAAAACAAGATGGTTTTAATTGAAAATGGGATCAATGAATGTACAACATGACTATCAAATGGCAATCACAAAAAGACAGTGTGCTAATTAGGTCAGTGACCAGTCAGCACATTAATTAATGGATTAGCTGTGTTCCTTGTCAATAGGCTGGCAGTATTGTTATCACCAGTTGGCTTTGGGTGAGTGACTTTGTTCAGTGATTGTTTGCCACCTCTGAACTGTGAGCAAGCTTGTGTGGCTAATTGATTGACACAGGTCTGCAGAGGTGTTCACTCCCAAGCCAGTCACAACCACTGCATCCTCTGATTGGATTATTCTAAACTGGCTGTATCTTCTCATTGGTCAAATATTTGTCATGCTCAGAATCATGGCATCTTGATTAAGAACACTGAACACTGCCATAAACTATCATTTCTAAATTTGTGGCATAAGGTCTACATCAGTGTTTTGTCACATTTGTCAAAGTCTCTTGAAGAAGTCTTGAATCTGAGAGATGGCATCTATAGTTGATCTGCCCACAGACAGCTGCTTGTATTATACAGGATCCTTGGCTAAACTGTCTAGCAACCCCATGTTCAGAGAGTTGCGTGCTGCCCTTGTACCGGAATGTAATAAAGCCAGTTCACAGTTCCAGGCTGTTAAGCATGACAAGGAGATGAAGACTGTTTTGGAATCCGTAAACACCCCCACATTCTGTCACACCGACACTCTGGACCCTTCATTCACTGCAGTCCAGGAGGCCAGTCTCCAGTCAGAGTTCCGCCAGATCACTCATCACCCGAAGGTTCTCGAACTCCAGACATTCTACTTCAGTAGTATTGCTGAAATCGAGAAGGAAAGAGCAGCTGCAATCACAAACCTCAAGTCCTCCCGCTCCACACTGTTGCAGAAAGAGCTGATGATTGTCCACGATCATTTCGATCGTAAACGTGTCCACCTGATCAGCAGAGTGACATCCAGCCTCCAGCTGCTGAAACAGACCATCCCTCCATCTGAAGTCAGCTCCCAGAAAGACTGCTCACAAGGGAAGATAAGATCAAGACAGCTTAGTCCCAGAGCTGTTCAGATAATGACGCAGTGGTACGAGCAGCATCTTAACAACCCCTACCCTAGCGACGATGAGAAGGTGAAGATGGCTGAGGAAGGGGGTATATCTCTATCTCAGGTCAAAGCCTGGTTTGCCAACAAGCGGAACCGAACAGCTAATACCAAGCCGAAACGTCAGAAGATGCAGGTGGAACAGAGTCTGATGTCTATTTGTAGTGAGCTGACTGGCAGTGAGAAGACACCTAGGATGTATGGCGATATCATTCAGCAACTTTCTGATATCGTGAACGGAAGTAATATCTTCAGCACAGACCAGTGTGGCTTTGAATCAGAAGTGAACTAGAATCACTGACATGAATTATGGTTTTGATAGTGACAGAACATTATTATGATATTGATTCATACTGACAGAACATTGTTACTATCACTGATTCAAAGGTATTGTGTTAACATCTGATGCAAATTGATGCATTAGCGTGTCCTTGAATGGTTGCTGATAATGAAGATCATACAAGTGCTAGAAACTCATTACAGGTGTAATTATGACAATGTATATTAGAAGACTGAAGGAAACTGAGTTAAGTTGATAATATATTGATTTAATATGCTAACTGAAGGAAACATGTTTTGTTTTACATATATATTTCTTTGCATTCCCCAGTTATAGTGCTCTTTTTGTGTTTTGTCACATTATTGTACATAAAAAGTATTGTAAATAAAATTGTTTCCCCAAATTTGCAGTGATGTATTTCTCTTTGTGTTATTGTCTCCAGAATCAACAGTCGAGGTCAAAGTTGGGTTTTCTGGAATACTGATAAGTGGAGCTGTTACGATTCACATGTGTATTTGGTGAATGAAACAGTATCACTTCATGAATTATATTTGTTACCCATGCTTGTCGTAAGAGATGACCAATGGCACTGAGTGGTCAGACTCGCTGACTTGGTTGACACATGCCATTGTATCCCAATTGTGTAGATTGATGGTTATGCTGTGGATCACTGGATTGCCTGGTAGATACTCAATTATTTACAGACCGCCACCATATAGCTTAAATATTGCTCAATGTGGCGTTAAATAACAAACCAACTAACTAAATTTGTTAATCTTGATCAGTAGCATTGAATATTCATGAATTCTTTAAAAAGTGTGCAATTTACTTGAATTTGTCAGTTATTTATCAAAGTTTGAGAAATATTGAACGTATTTGATTGGAAAATAATGTAGTCATTGGCTTTTTAAATTAACACTGTGAACATGTTATTTAACTGATTTAGTTAGTTTCACTGAATATATTGAACAATGCATCAGCTGCTGATATGTTATTTTAAGTCATAAAAAACTATTTGTATTCATTAACCTATATTTGTGATATGTATCGTTTTCACCTCAATGGATTCGTTGAAGTTTTACTGATAACTCTATACAACTCGCCATGGCAGATTAACTATGGTCATGTGAAAAGTTCAGTTGGTCATTACTACAGTATGGTGAAAGATTCAGTTGGTCATTACTACAGTATGGTGAACGATTCAGTTGGTCATTACTGCAGTGTGGTGAAAGATTCAGTTGGTCCTTACTACAGTATGGTGAAAGATTCAGTTGGTCCTTACTACAGTATGGTGAAATATTCAGTTGGTCATTACTACAGTATGGTGAAAGATTCAGTTGGTCATTACTACAGTATGGTGAAAGATTCAGTTGGTCCTTACTACAGTATGGTAAAGATTCAGTTGGTCCTTACTACAGTATGGTGAAAGATTCAGTTGGTCATTACTACAGTTGGTCATTATGGTGAAAGATTCAGTTGGTCATTACTACAGTATGGTGAAAGATTCAGTTGGTCATTACTACAGTATGGTGAAAGATTCAGTTGGTCCTTACTACAGTATGGTGAAAGATTCAGCTATGGTGGTCAGTTGGTTACTACAGTATGGTGAAAGATTCAGTTGGTCATTACTGCAGTATGGTGAAAGATTCAGTTGGTCATTACAGTATGGTGAAAGATTCAGTACTACAGTGAAAGATTCAGTTGGTCATTACTACAGTATGGTATGGTGATTCAGTTGGTCCTTACTACAGTATGGTGAAAGATTCAGTTGGTCCTTACTACAGTATGGTGAAAGATTCAGTTGGTCCTTACTACAGTATGGTGAAAGATTCAGTTGGTCATTACTACAGTATGGTGAAAGATTCAGTTGGTCATTCAGTTGGTCATTACTTACTGCAGTATGGTGAAAGATTCAGTTGGTCCTTACTACAGTATGGTGAAAGATTCAGTTGGTCATTACTACAGTATGGTGAAAGATTCAGTTGGTCATTACTACAGTATGGTGAAAGATTCAGTTGGTCATTACTACAGTATGGTGAAAGATTCAGTTGGTCATTACTACAGTATGGTGAACGATTCAGTTGGTCCTTACTACCGTATGGTGAACGATTCAGTTGGTCCTTACTACAGTATGGTGAAAGATTCAGTTGGTCATTAAGGTCCTTTGAGTAGTACATTGCTAAACATGAACTCTGCAGCCCATTTTCAGACTAGATTGGTATGTTGTAACTCATGCTGGTATGAAACATGCATTGCTCCTGTGTAATTTGGGTGATTATTAGACCATTTGAATTAAGAGTGAGTGAGTATGGTTTTACGCCGCTTTTAGCAATATTCCAGCAATATCACGGCAGGGGACACCAGATAATGGTTTCACACATTGTACCCATGTAGGGAATCGAACCCTGGTCTTCAGCGTGACAAGCGAACACTTTAACCACTAGGCTACCCCCCGCCCCATTTGAATTAAGAGACATAATGTGGTGTTTGAAAGAATTGAACAAACATGCTAAGACTGCAAGTTTGTCATTACCTTGTTCACCTTTAGTCATCATATCGTTATCCTTTCATGGACCTTATTTTAGTTAGCAAAATATGTCTGGCTGTGTGCATTAGTTGTATCAAATGTCAGTTTTCAGGGATGGAAATAACTTTAAAATTGCTAGTGTACTCCCGGTACAGTGGCACATGTAAAATCACTTGTCCTGATAAGTTTTCCACTATACCTCACGATTTTCTTGTTGATTTTTCAAATAAACAACATAATTAACATTCAGTCATTGGAAAGTCAACTGGACACCGGTACAGCGTGATATAGAAATTTGCTTGCCCGACAGAAAAACACTGGACTGGGACGTCGGGCAATGGGTTATTTTCACCCCTGGTTTTACAGTAGAAAGTGGATATCCCACTCAGACACAGTATAGGGACACCAAGCCAACCAGTCCATGTTTTTACCTATGATGTTGACACCCAGGCAGGCTAACAAGTACTGTCTGTGTGACATGGATCAAACCATCTACTTTCTGCTCTCTGAGCAGATATGCTCTCCACAAATCACAGAGGCATTTGGGCTTACTGTTCACAGCAAATCCATGCTCAGCTTATCTCAAATTTGAGGTTATAGGAGTGATCTGAATTGAATTTTACCACCTGTGTCCAAAATCTCCGATTGGGAATTCTTTTTCCTCAACCCTGGCACAAACTATTCAGATACATGTATAAAACAATCTGATCATACATACACAGAAGTTTGCAGATGCTTTTTCTGTACTCAAACATATATAAGTCAGAAAGTAGTCCTGCATATTAAAAAAAAGTGCAAACATTAAAACAACTGGTAATCTAACCAAGGGTTCGTTTTCAGAAGAGGTCCTTCTTGGGGTACTTTTTTAAAGCATTTTTTATGTCCGTTAAAAATTCCTACGGCAGTTGTAACCATGTTTTAAATAAAATATTTCCAAAACAAAAAACTTCTTTTTGTCTTGTTTGACCACCCCTGCAGGGCCCAGTGGGACCCCACAGCCAAGAGAAGGCAACTCTAACCTTCAACCTTGCAAATTACTTTCCATGCTGTCATTCACATGGTGAAGACGTGCATGCTGTCCAGAAAACTAGTTGAATTCCTAGTAAACAAAGAGAAAGATTAGTAAGAAAGGAACGAACACTGTTTGTATGGTTCTTTTCTAATCACATGGGCAATATATTGAATGCGTTCGCAAAATTTTCATTCATGAATGTAACTTTTCCGTCGCCTCCCCACTTCAAACCATAATGGTTTAATGGACATAAAAAATGCTTTTAAGTACCCCAAGGATGGCTCTCTTCAAAGAATTCCACTTCAAACTGTAATGGTTTAATGGACATAAAATGCTTTTAAGTTCCCAAAGGAGGCCTCTCTACAAAGAATCAGCAACATCTACAGGTTGTTGTGAATTTTCTTGTCATTAAACATAATGTATGACTAACCATTTGTCCTGGTAGTTCAGAGGGTGCATTAGTTCCTATCCAGGACTCACCAGACCTGAGTACCAGTGCTACCCATCCCAGCCCTGGTGGATTACTGTAAAGGACAACTGTTGAAATTGTAAAAACCATCATGTTGTTCTCATTATCATTGCTGTTTTCAGATTTACGGATGGCCACTTCTTGAAACAGTATTTTCGGAGGTCCTGACCAAAGAAGAGTGGTTGATGATGTGGGACAATGTATTCAGTAATCACCCTTCCTTCCTGCTGATGGTGGTGGCTGCCTACTCCATCTGTGCACGAGGTCCTCTCATGCAGTGCACAGAGCTGGACGACTTCAAGGTGAGGAGAAATGGCAGCTCATGGGTTGAAATGTCTATACTGATATTGCTTTACACTGATATGGTAGCTTTGATAGATGTTATCACAGTTGTAAGGTTGTCATGATAATATCTTGAAAAAAGTTGTCATTTTTTTCAGTTTGCTTTGTTTTTCACCTTGTTTTAAAAGATATGAGAGTATTTCTAAAATATTATCTATCTGAAATAATAGTCAGGGCTTTACCATTACCTTAACTATGCGATATGTAATGGCAGATGTGATAATATTAGCTTTCTTTTCTTTCACTCTCTCTTTGCGTCAACCGCCTCCGTGGTGTAGTGGTTAGAGCGTCCGCCCGGAGAGCGGAAGGTCGCGGGTTCGATCCCCGACCGCGTCATACCAAAAGACGTTAAAATATGGTACTTGTTGGTCCCTGCCTGGCGCTCGGCATTAATGGGTACAACAAGGACTGGTCAGCTCGGAGTCAGTATAATGTGTCTGAGTGGGGTATTCATGCTTCACTGCGGCATGGTATCTCAGTGGGCTAGCACTATTAAACCAGCTTAAGTCTGGGCTAGTACAAGCAGCCACACATCCACATACACATGCATGCACGTCGTCATATGAGCGAAATATTCTCAAGCACGACGTAAAACCCAATTTCACATCACATCACATCTCTTTGCGTCACCCTCTCCCTACACACTTTCTCCCACACTGTCTTTCCCTCACCCTGATTCTACCAGACCTTTGCACTGTTCTCCTCTCACCTTTTCCCACTCTCCATATCTCCACACCGTCTCTGTACCCTCTCCCTTTCTCTCTCTTCTAGATAGCTGTGCGGATTCTTTCATTCCTTTCAATCCCCATTTCTCCTTCCGACTATCTTTCCATATCCCTTCACAGACACCTTCACCCTATTCTACTCCCCCTCCATTCCACTCTCAACTTTCCTCTCCCCTTTCCTCTCTTCTGTAAGGTGCTGTGCGGAATATTGCCGTTAGCCATGAAAAAATCCAGACATTCCAATTTGGTAGATTGATGCTCATGCTGTTGATCACTGGATTGTCTGGTCCAGACTCGATTATTTACAGACCACTGTCATTTAGCTGGAATATTGCTGAGTGCTGCATTTAACAACAAAGAAGCATGAAAGGATCCTATGATAATAGAAGTGATTAGCTATTCAAAACCATGTAACCTTCCTCTCTCTCTCTCACTTATGGAGATGAATTAGGGTTCTGGGAATACTTGCTATTCAAAGCAGTGTAACATACCTCCCTCCCTTATTTATGGAGATAAATGAAGGTTGCGTTTTCTTCACATCTGCCAATGTATGTTCCCTAGGGAGTTGAGATACCAATATACAAGTATACTCTGTCAATACCGGCATCACTCGGGACCAAATATAAATGTCGGTTTTGACAGGCAGCCGGTTTAGGCAGGTTGCAAGTTCTCACGCCCTCACGATCCAGTACACTGCATCTAACACTGTGATTGCTTTGCAAAGTTCATCAGTGCTGGAACATGTGTCCATGCTAGAGACAAGTGATCTCAAAAGATATCGGTGGTAACGTGCCTTAAATGCGCAGATTATACCTTGATCTAGGGGTTGAAAAACTGAAGTCATGTTTGCAGGAACTAAACTTTTGTTCGTTTTTACAGTCAAACTGCCCACTACATGTATTAATTACTCTATGTAAGTGACACGTACCACTCACTATTAACAAGAAACTGATTGACACTTCCCGTTTCTGAATAATCTCGGGAGTAACCGTGAATTGTGTTGTTACATCATTTGGACCTAATTGCATCAAAGGGTTGCGCCGTCCTTCATGTGCCCGTTTTACAGATTCGTTTTCAACTTGTTTGTTGGGACTGAAAAACAATGCCGATATCCAGAGTAGACAGATGCCGATGTTTACAGATGTTTCTAAATGATAATTAAGTGCATTTCTGCCGGGACTTAAACTGTGTGCCGATGTAGACAGAGTGCCGGTGTTCACAGAGGCCGATTGTAATATAATAATAAAAATGATAATGTTTTCTTCAAATGTGATGGTCAATCTTCATCCTAATGGACCTTCATGTTGTATCTGTGCCTGCCTTGCAGTACTTCTTCCACCACCGCAATGCTGTAGATGTGAAGCAGGTCCTGAAGGAGGCTCACCGCCTCATGGCATCCACACCTGCTGACATACACCCACGCAAGTCCCTGGAGGAATACAAGCCCCTCACACGAGGACAATACCCTGTGTTCAACAAATACCCCAAGTTTATTGTGGACTATCAGGTGTGTGTACATGTGAAAGTGGAACAGCGCACCAGTTGTACACACACAAGTAATTACTTCATCAGACATGATAATTTAGTACCAGATCTGGCAGTGAAGATTTTGTCACCTGTGTGAATGTAGGCTGCTGCCTACACCATCTTTCTAAATTTACCACTGTTTTGCATTTCATACTTGTTTCCTTAAGTCTTGTTATTGTAAGAAAGTTAATATTGAAAATTGTGTGCAGTGTCAAATATCAAGCCCAGAAGGAAATTTCACTGGAGTCGGTCTTGTGTCCAGATGACCAAATGTTATCACATTGAAGAAAGATTCAAGTTGTCATATTGTATTGTTCTTGACAATCACTTCAACTGTATTGAGAAACACTCATATGCACAAGTATGCATTTTGAAGAGTTGTTCAACATGTTCTCTCTATTAAAACCTTTATGGACATTTTATCCTTTGGGAAGTCTATAAAACTTATAATTGTTTGGCCAGGAGCCAAGGATTAGGTAGTTCTGTTGTTAACCTGTAAGTAAAATGTCAGCTCAATGTACCTTTATCTGCTTGTGTGCTTTCAGGTACAAGAACGGGATAGGATTCGACAAGAAGAAATGGAATATCTCCGTCAGAAGTAAGTCATTTTCTTTTAGTTTAGTGATATAAATTCCTTCATGTGTTTCCTAATCATATACATCAACCTAAGAAGCTGTCTCTTGTCATTCCCAAAACTTGAAGATTCAGACTGGCTTTATGTTAAACATGGAGAATAAACAATAGTGACTGATGGTTATATTACCGCTTCTCGTGAAGGTCCGGGTTAGAATGAACCTTCAGTAACACATTCTAGTCGTAAGAGGCGACTAACGGGATCGGGTGATCAGGCTCGCTGGCATGGTTGACACATGTCATCGGTTCCCAATTCCGCAGATCGATGCTCATACTGTTCATCACTGGATTGTCTGGTCCACACTCGATTATTCACAGACCGCCGCCATATACTGTAAACGTATTACATTTCGCGGAGGTTTTATTTTTGCGCTTTTCGCGCAAAACATTTTAGCGCGAAAATTTATACACTGCGAATAAACCTGTCATTCATTCAGTCTAGCCACGCTCGCCCCTGAGTTGTTACCATAACACATCACGTTTGAAGACAGAAATCAACGGGAATCTTAAAATGACGACTGATCATACTTAACTGTTGCTGTAATGGATTTCCCAAAACATAATTAAATAATGAGCCAAATCCCATTGCCGAATTAGCGAAAACAGCAATGTGTGTTGTGGCCGCCATGGAAATTGGTCACATGACAGATGGTTTGATACAAAACAGATTACCGTGAAACGACTCGGAAAGAAATAATACAGCAGTATTTTATTAAGATTCATTAAGATTTTATTCACCAGTACATCATGAAGCGAATAGTCACTAACACTCAATCATCTCACTCACAACAACCCGGCTTGTTTGAAATCACAAAGAGCTTCATATACAGTATAAGTTAATTCGTCAAATCGTCAGAATTCGGAACATAAGACTGATGTGTTTTTCATCTCTTCCGGAGTAAACGGATTACTGTGTACTAGTATATCGCACAGATAGGGATTTCCTGTGAGTAAGCAATAAACGCCGCCTGACAGGTTAAGCCACTCTGTTTGTTTTCACTGCTTTTAGTGGCGGCCAAAGAGACAGCTGGCAGTTCCGGCAATTACTGATTGCGCGAATAATTGACCACGCGATGTAGTCTAAACTGTCAATTCCGCGAAAATTGCACCACGCGAAAATAAGTACGTTTACAGTAGCTGGAATATTGCTGAGTGTGGCTTAAAACTAAACTCACTCACCGCTACATCCTGGCATCCTGTAATTAATCAAGGCAGGGCCAACCACACCAGTGAGTAATGTCATAGCAACATTCTGCACTGTTGGGGCATGATGACACACATCAGCTGGATCATTCATCCAAATTTCAGTTGTTCTGTGGTGAACACAGAGCATGGGTGACCTACTCTGCCAACAGATCATTTTGTAATGATTCATTGAGCCACATTGCCTCTACCTTCAGTACATTATGTGAGTTGTGAGAAGTAGGTTATTGAAGTGATCAATCAGTGTATGGAGTCTTTATCAAGGGTATGTGATGTTCTGTAGGAAGGTGTCGATGGAGGTGCAGCGAGAGACACTCAAGAAGCAGCAGGAGGAAGAGGCATGGTACAGACAGCAGCAGCTGCTGACAGAGGCAGAGGAGAAGAGGCGTAATATGATAATGCATGAAGAGGAGAAGCTAGTGGACCAGAGGAAGAGGTGAGTTCAAAACCTCCATGGATTTTGATACATGCCTGTACCAAGGTGCATGTTGTAGGCTGTTTACCTATGCTTGCTGTGGTTTACAGACTGTTTGCCATGAACCGGGAGGTGAAGCTGAAGGAGCTGCAGCTGCTGGATGCTGCCAGACAGAAATTCCTCCACTTCCAGCAGAAGCAGAGAGAGGCTGAGCTCAAGAGGCTGGATGACGAGATGCAGAGAAAGGTGTGTGTTACTGCCTCAATGTCAAACTTTGCAAATGTCCACATTAATATTAATAGATTGTCAAGAAATATCAAAGAGAAACTCTGATTAAGACACTATGCTAAATAATGTGTTTTAAGCTTTTAGAACTGCAAAAGAAATTGATATGAAAAAAAGGATGTATTGATGTACCTTGAAAAATGCTTGTGGTTCACCTTGGCCTGGTATCCTCACATCTCTTATCTGTAGGCTCTTATGAGGGACAGCTTGTGTAGAATGTGAGTTTAGTTTTAGGCTGCTCATAGCAATATTCCAGCAATATCACGATGGGGAACACCAGAAATGAGCCCCACACATTTTACCCATGTGTGGAAGTGAACCTGGGTCTTCAGCACGGATGTAATAACATGAACCTCACTTGTATCTGTAGGCTCTGATGAGGGACAGTGTGTGTACGATGTAATAACATGAACCTCACACGTTGTATCTGTAGGCTCTGATGAGGGACAGTGTGTGTAGGATGTAATAACATGAACCTCACTTGTATCTGTAGGCTCTGATGAGGGACAGTGTGTGTAGGATGTAATAACATGAACCTAACTTGTATCTGTAGGCTCTGATGAGGGACAGTGTGTGTAGGATGTGTATAGGATGTAATGACATGAACCTCACTTGTATCTGTAGGCTCTGATGAGGGACAGTGTGTGTAGGATGTAATGACATGAACCTCACATGTTGTATCTGTAGGCTCTGATGAGGATGTACATGTGTGTGTAGGATGTGAGGATGTGTAGGATGTAATGACCTCACCTCACATGTATCTGTAGGCTCTGATGAGGGACAGTGTGTGTAGGATGTAATGACATGAACCTCATGTTGTATCTGTAGGCTCTGATGATGAGGACATGAACAGTGTGTATCTGTAGGATGTAGGAACATGAACCTCATGTTGTATCTGTAGGCTCTGATGAGGGACAGTGTGTGTAGGATGTAATGACATGAACCTCACATGTTGTATCTGTAGGCTCTGATGAGGGACAGTGTGTGTAGGATGTAATGACATGAACCTCACATGTTGTATCTGTAGGCTCTGATGAGGAACAGTGTGTGTAGGATGTAATGACATGAACCTCACATGTTGTATCTGTAGGCTCTGATGAGGAACAGTGTGTGTAGGATGTAATGACATGAACCTCACATGTTGTATCTGTAGGCTCTGATGAGGGACAGTGTGTGTAGGATGTAATGACATGAACCTCACATGTTGTATCTGTAGGCTCTGATGAGGAACAGTGTGTGTAGGATGTAATGACATGAACCTCACATGTTGTATCTGTAGGCTCTGATGAGGAACAGTGTGTGTAATGTAATGAGTGTTGTATCTGTAGGCTCTGATGAGGAACAGTGTGTGTAGGATGTAATGACATGAACCTCACATGTTGTATCTGTAGGCTCTGATGAGGGACAGTGTGTGTAGGATGTAATGACATGAACCTCACATGTTTTATCTGTAGGCTCTGATGAGGGACAGTGTGTGTAGGATGTAATGACATGAACCTCACATGTTGTATCTGTAGGCTCTGATGAGGAACAGTGTGTGTTGGATGTAATGACATGAACCTCACATGTTGTATCTGTAGGCTCTGATGAGGGACATGACATGAACCTCATGTTATATCTGTAGGCTCTAGGCTCTGATGAGGAACAGTGTGTGTAGGATGTAATGACATGTGTGTCACATGTAATGATGTATGACATGACCTCACATGTTGTATCTAGTAGGCTCTGATGAGGTAGGCTCTGACAGTGTGTGTAGGATGTAATGACATGAACCTCACATGTTATATCTGTAGGCTCTGATGAGGAACAGTGTGTGTAGGATGTAATGACATGAACCTCACATGTTGTATCTGTAGGCTCTGATGAGGGACAGTGTGTGTAGGATGTAATGACATGAACCTCACATGTTATATCTGTAGGCTCTGATGAGGAACAGTGTGTGTAGGATGTAATGACATGAACCTCACATGTTATATCTGTAGGCTCTGATGAGGGACAGTGTGTGTAGGATGTAATGACATGAACCTGTGTATCTGTAGATGTGATGAGGAACAGTGTGTGTAGGACGTAATGACATAAACTTCAAATGTTGTATCTGTAGGCTCTGATGAGGGACAGTGTGTGTAGGATGTAATGACATGAACCTCACATGTTGTATCTGTAGGCTCTGATGAGGAACAGTGTGTGCAGGATGTAATGACATGAACCTCACATGTTAGGATGTATGTACCTCACATGGCTCTGATGAGGGACAGTGTGTGTAGGATGTAATGACATGAACCTCACATGTTGTATCTGTAGGCTCTGATGAGGGACAGTGTGTGTAGGATGTCATGACATGAACCTCACATGTTGTATCTGTAGGCTCTGATGAGGAACAGCTTGTGTAGGATGTAATGACATGCACTTCACATGTTGTATCTGTAGGCTCTGATGAGGGACAGTGTGTGTAGGATGTAATGACAGGAACCTCACATGTTATATATGTAGGCTCTGATGAGGAACAGTGTGTGTAGGATGTAATGACATGAACCTCACATGTTATATATGTAGGCTCTGATGAGGGACCAGGAAACAGCAGCAGCTCTTGAGGAAGGGGAGATCAAGAACCTGGAGCTGCAGCTTCAGAAGAAGATGTTTGAACAGGTCAGTAGGATCTGCATTGGCTTATTTGATTAATCCACTCTACGTGTTGTTCGAATAAAGTGATAAGAAATGTGGGAACATGAAGTTAGAAACGGATTCAGGATTGGGGATTCGAATCCCGAATCTGAATATTTTTTTCTCATTCTGGATTCGAAACCCTAATCTGATTTTTTTTTTACATTCAGGATTCGAATGATGAATCTGAATATTTTTTCAGATTCGGTATTTTTGCACATTCGACACTCAGCATTCGGTATTTGAACTCTTATATTTCATCCCCTTTCTAAAGTATTAGGTGCTCGTTGTATATCTGGGTAACTACAGTTTCCGATATTTGAACCTTAAATCTGAGTTTTCTCAACATTCGGGTTTTTGGGATTTGAATCCTGAATCTGAATAATTTTTTCACATTCGGGATTCGAATCCTGAATCTGAATATTTTTTCCATATTCAGGATTCAAATCCTGAAACCCGAATGTTGAGAAAACACAGATTTGAGGTTCAAATATTGGAAACTGTAGTTTGGCTGTTTATGTTTTCAAGTTACCCAGATATACAACGAGCGCTAGTACATTAGAAGGGGGGTGAAATATAAGAGTTCAAATACTGAATGCCGAGTGTCAAATGTGCAAAAATATCGAATCTGAAAAAAAATTCAGATTCGGGATTTGAATCCTGAATATGGAAAAAATATTCAGACTCGGGATTCGAATCCCCAGTGCCCAATCCGGAATCTGTTTCTAACTTCATGTTGCTAAGAAATGTAGGGTTTTGTCACCCTCATAGCACTAGAGTGGTCAACATACACAGCATCAATCACTTTGGGCTTTCTTGCCAAATTCTGCTGACCTGTCATGATATGACTGGAATGATGTTCACTGCTGCATAGAAACCAAGTCTTTGAGAAGCTGAGAATTTGTTCATCTCAGTATAGAGTTGTCATGTATAATGTTGGGTACAGGAGTTGTTCCGGGACTATGCGACAGCATCGCACACACTGCGCACAGAGAAGGACATGCACAGGAAGCAGGTGGAGCTGGAGGACAGGATACAGAACCGACTGAGGGATGCTGAGAGGGAGAGGGAGCTGGAGGTCAGGAAGGTCAGTCTGCAGATTACTTACATCAATGTGTCCAGTCAACCACTATATGGTGCTATATATTCATTGAACACTGATTAGGTTGCCAAGTTCAGTCCTTACATCCAGTGTCTTATCAACCATTATGTGGTGCTAGCACGTTGCAAATGTTGCCAGTTACAATTTCAGAGAGTTTGTCATATAATGATTGTCTTCATCATGTTCAAAGTGTGTTAGTATATTTTGATTTATGATTTTAAAGTATGACGTCTTTTGTTGGTATGTTGTGTTATGTTGAATAAATGGCATAAGCCATATATATCATTATTTCTTTTCTTCATATGCTTGCCAGTAATGGTTATTTCATACCAAGTATCAGCTGTTATGTCTCCTGTTATGTTGACTGTTGAGTGACTTGCCACAACAGATGATGTCTCAGAACTTGGCCCAGGCATCTCAGAAGAACATAGACATGTGGGCTCACAAAGAGATGCAGCATCGCCATCAGATGGAGGACCTGGAGCGGGAGGCCAAGAATGTGCAGGTACAGCACCAGGGGCACAGTCTCTCATCTTAAACTAGGGTTGATGGGGTAGCCTAGTGGTTAAAGCGTTTGCTCATCACGCCTGAAGAGCCGGGTTCGATTCCCCACATGAGTACAATGTGTGAAGCCCATTTCTGGTGTTCCCCGCTGTGATATTGCTGGAATATTGCTAAAAGTTACTCACGAACGAACGAACGAGTGTTTTAGCTTTAACAGGTCCCCAGTATACCATGCCTGTCTCTATGAGGATGTAGACAGAATAGGTCCTTATTATCCTTTGCATGTTTGTTTTAGGATTCAGGGGATCAGACCCAATAGTAGTTGACTATGGGTATTCTTCTGAAGTTGATTAGGTCTCTACTATCCTATGCTTGTCTCTAACATAGACATTCCAGGGTTAAATTAGGTCTCCATTACTTCCTCCTTGTCACCCAGGGATCCCAGAAATAGAACAGGTTTGCCAGTATCCCATGATGTTCCTTTTATCCCCATGATGATTTCAGATGTGAAGCTTTATCATTATTTGAGGAATACTTTGTTTTATAGCTACAGCATTCAAACAAATTCCAGTATATTCCTTTTCGCTTGAACGTTCAAAAGTATGTTGTCTCTTCACAACCACTTCATTCAACAGTGTCAGTGTTCAGTTTTAGCAGTTAATGAGTCAATACTTTCCGAAGTTTGACCTTTATCTTAAGATAGAAAAACGAAAGGACCTTTAGATTCTGAGGCTGAACTAAGCTTGATAACTGTCAGCCATACATCTGACGGTCAACCCTGTGTGTGTTTTGCAGCTGTCTCGTCTACATGTCCAGAACAGAGAGCTGGAGCAGGAAGTCCATGACTTGATGAGGAGATGCCATGACACAAGGGTAAGACAGCACTGATGTGGATGGTGTGAAGTGAAATGGGGTCTAGCATTTATTGCACTTACGTAGTGGTGTGCATGCACTAGGTTGTATGTGTTGCATGTGTGTGTGATAGTCTGGACTAATGCCAGTTTTATAGCACTATCTGAATGAGATGCCATGTTGCAGTTTCATGTTCATACCCCTCTCAGACACAGTATACTCACTCCAAGGTGACCATTGTTCTATCCCCTGAAAGTTGAGCATCAGGCTTGGTGACAACAAACACAAAGGGTTCGATCCACCAGCCTTCAGGTCTCTAAGGGAGAATCCATAAAGATGATCTGATGTGCCTGGGTGTACAAGGTGCACAAGGTACATGTACACATTTTCCTGTGGGCTTTTTGTCAGACCTGGATACAATGATCAGGAGTTTGATTTCTCAATCTGTCCCAATTATAATCATCTCATTCTCATTTCAGTTAACAAGCGTGATTGATGTATTGTTTGTAGGAGGATGAGACGGAGGCTGGGTATCGGGATTTGTTAGCGGACCAGGACGATCGAGAGAACACCGCATCACGAAGGCTGCTGAGTCTGGAGGAAGATATACACACTGGCCGCCAGCATTCCCGGGATCTGTCTCAACAGGCCATCGACATTGTTAACAGTGAGTCTCGGACAGTGTTGTTAGATAGATAGGTATATTGTGAACTAGTCATAAAAGCTTATGACAAAGCACTACCAATATACTTTTAGTCTACAGATTTAAAATGGCTTCATCTGACTTCATGTGTGCTTTAAAATGTTTGAAAATATAAGTGAGTTTAGTTTTACGCTGCTTTTAGCAATATTCCACAATATCACATGAAAATATGAATTTAGACATATGTTTTACATGATGAAAATTTCACACACACATGCACACTTACAAACACCCAGATACATTGACAGACAGAATATTACAGGCTAAATTGAAACATTCAGAATATCTCTTGGTGCTTGTCTTTGGGAAGGACTACAGGATGAGTACAATTACACATGGGTAACATAGACATTGTTTACTTGCTTTGCAATATTTATTACTTAACTACTAGTAAAATCTCACAATTGATGATTGGTTCAATACCAATGACCAATCACCACAAAAAAATTGGTTAGCATCATTTTTTAGATTTTCCTATTCAGGTTGTAGTTTAGTTGCAGATAAGTATAAAGAAAAAAACATTTGGTTCTCTGGTTTTTTTTTAGAAACTGCACAAATTACAATTGCAGATTTCACATCCAGTGTAAAATGATTCAGGTCCAGTGTAACATTAACTTCCCAGATTCTTCAAGAAACATTCAGTCATGACTTTTCAGAAAGTGAAGTGAGTTTTCTTAGAAATAAACACTTTTTCAGGCCCTGACAACGTCCTAGATATGTTCCATCATCAAGTATTTCAAATCTATTACAGCGGTTCCAAAATTGTTTGTGTTCGATAATGAGAAAATGTGACTGATTGCTTGGTCGTTTGGCCACTGCGACCAATCTTCGATTATTTCAATTAATCGGACCACCACTATTAACTACTGTATTAATTTTGTATATATTTTGATGTCTCTGATATTCCAGGATACCAAACAGCTTCATATCATGATAACAGTGAGCTGTATGACAGTGTCGACACAGGTGACAACTCAAAACGTAAGTAAACCAGTATCACCTATCACAATGTGGATGCATTTGCTCATATCATCCACCACTTGTTCACAGAATCAATCATCTTAAGACATTTTCTACTTCAAGGTTACCTCATGGCCCCAACTATGTCTTTATTAAATAACTGTCCTTCATTTGTGTCACTGAGCTATGCGGGGATCAGTTTGTGGGATGGAAGCTGTTTCAGTACCATAATGATTCTTTGCACTTTTCCCATGATTATCAGTTATCATCTGTAGCTTCTTACACAATATGTTAACATGTCATGAGGTGGAATATTAATCAAAGCAACAGCACATCTAACTCACTAAGTTCTATCTATCAGTATGTTCCACACACATCCCTGGTAAACTACTGTTCTCCAGTGGCTTGAAGTCATCACTGTGACTAAATCTATTCAGTCATAAGGTCAACCAGTTCTGCTTGTCATTTTCCTTAGACAATGATGTTAACTGATTATAAATGTCCTGTTTCCACCATTCCCAATGTTTTTCGAAGTTATGTTTTGGCTGGACTGATGATGATTCAATGCATAGTCAAATCAAGATTGTGTAATCCGGTTTGTATCTGGCCTGCTGTTTTTTTGTCAATTACAGGATTGCATGGCATGTGTACCATCAACAGGTGTCAACACATATTTTCCATATCTTTTTCCAGTCTCATTTGAACGAAGTCGCAGAACGTTTGATGACCAGGAAATAGCTTTATTGAATGGTGTCCGTCAGTTAAGACAAAGACTAGCCACAGAAAGCAGAGGCCGGAAACCCCCCAAGGTCCACGAAGGAGACTGAGACAGATGGTATAGACACTGCACTCTGCTGTGCATCATAAGGTTGCATTGTGTATTGCCATGTTTCACATCACAACCAGACAATTATTCATTTCCAAAATATTAGAATTGTTTGCAAATTCAACAAGTAGTGAAAACAGAAGAACACATTGTTAGCTTACTGTGTTAAGTATCAGTGATGTATAAGATGTCTAAGGTAACCCAGATTGCCTCTGGTGTCTTCGTGTTAATCAAAATTAACAAGGTTCTGTGTGCATCTTTATAGAACTAGAAGAGGAGTAAAGGACTTTCTGATCAGGTTCATAAATTGCTGATGGGAAACTTAAATATACTCAGCAGCAAAAACAAAGTCAGTTCGAATTCAAAATTATATAGGCACTGTAATCAAATCATTACAGAAATGGACATAATGAGCAGATCAAAAATATTTTTTGTGTACAATATCTTGACACATCAATGAATAACTCAGCACAATTCCAAGATATTACATGAACGTTTGCAGTCCTTCAGACTCTTGACTTCAGTATCTAGTGTGACCACCATGAGTGGCAATAACTGCAGCACAGCGTCTATGCATGGAGTGCAACAATCGATTGATGAAGGCCATTGGCACCTTGAACCACACTCTGAGAAAGGCCTGGCGCAATTAACCGGCTGTGTTCGGCCTTGGTATGACATTATTCAGTCTCCTCTGAATTTCATCCCAAAGATGTTCAACTGGGTTTAAATCAGGACTAAGGGCTGGCCACTGCATAATGTTGACACTGTTATGCTGTAGGAAGTCCCGTGTAGCCCTGGCAGTATGGGCCCGGGCGTTATCATGCTGGAAAATGTTGTTCCGGTGACATGCGAAATGTGGTATGACGTGGGGTCTGAGAGCTTGGTCGATGTAGCGCAACCTGCTGTGATGCCGCCTCCTCTCCCTGGACCAAGGTTCTGGAACACCACAGGACCCACTCTCTGGTTCAGGCCTATTCCACCCCATACCATGATGCTTGCACCTCCCCATGAGTCTCTTTCCATAACACATTGGTCTGAGTAACACTGGCCAAGTCGTCGCCATATTCTTGTTCTGCCATCTGCAGTTGATAGGCAGTACCAACTCTCATCTGTGAACAGAACAGTTCTCCATTGCCTGTATCGCCAGTTTTGGTGTTGTATGGCAAACTGTAGATGTTCACGCTGATGATGAGGGGTGAGGATAGGTCCACGGTAAGGTCTACAGCAATGGAGGTTCCCGCTGTTAAGACGTCAGCGTACTGTATCAGTATTGATTGGTCTTCCGTGTGTTCCCACTGTCTGGCGTGCTGTTTCGGATGCCGACATGAAGGGATTTTGTACATGCTGTCACACAACATGGCGGTCTTGTGGTCTTGTGGTCACCCTTGGTCTGCCAGTACGGGGGCGATCATTTGTGGTGTTGGTGGCCAAGAAACATTGCAGCCTGTAGATGGTCCGAACGTTGACCTGGAAGTGATTGGCAACGGCTTGTGCAGTGAGGCCAGCTTCAAGTCTTCCTAGCGCCTAGTTCCTCTGAGCTGTCGTGAGTCGCGGCATCCTGCTGACGTTGTAATGTGAATGTTTCAACCAGGTTTGGGGGTGCATTTTATAGGGCTGGTCCTTATGAACAGCAAGTGCAGCATGAGTTCCATGAAAAACATGGAGAACACCGTACCATCTCCAAGATCAGGTTGCATTTTTGAGACCATTTCCTGGGTTCAATTCTGAAGTTGGGAAGGAATGTCTTTGCTCAGGTAAAGTTGGAGATGTTGTAAAAAATATACAACCAAAACATTAAATGAGTTTACAGTTATCCGTTTCTGGGAAGGAAAATTCCAAACTGACGTTTCTTTTGCTGCTTAGTATACGTTTGCCATGACACTTTTCAGATCAGATTGATTCAATTAGAACATTCTCTTTGTATCTCTACATAACTCTTGTTTGATGTGGAAGAGGAAAATAACCATATATGCCAATAGGATTTTTGTAGGTCTGTTAATCAGTGAAGCTTGTTATCCCAGTACATCCTCAACAGATATGAATTTGCCAAATGGGTTTATGTAAGATGAACTTGTCATATGTCAGTCACATCAATATTGGATCTTTTACACATGACATACCTTATTCATGAAGATCTAACCCCATCTGTTAGGACATCATGTCAGATGAATCAGAAGAGAGTGTTTGCCCAATGTAGAAGGTTTATATAAAGTATGTGTGCCAATCAGATGTCAGCTTTCTAAAAAGAAAAGGCTTCACTTTTTCTTCTTGTTCTGGATGAAAGGAAACCCACAAGGGGCACAAACGTTTCTGTGATGATACCCCTTTTGAGTGTAGATGCCATTAGGACTGTATAAAATACCCACTTTATGATGATGCATCCTTTATTATTTACATTCGGAACTTGTTGTTCAACTTCATTTTCGAAATTAAGGTCTGATACAAGTAACTGAATGTCCCTCACTTGTACAAACCAATCGAAAGCCATAAAACTGATTAGCCAATAAGAAAGTTTTTCCTGATTCTACGTCTAATAGAGGATGTCAAATCTTTCTTAGATAGGTACTGGATCAAAGTAAAGGATGTGATTTTAGTGGAATAAACATGTACAGTGATGGATGTTGAATCTGTCAACAGAAGCTGTAGCTAGTTGGATCTGGATCTGCATTTAGAAGTATATATTTGGGGCCAAAAACAACTTGCACCCATGTTCGTTGGTTGTGTATATCATGTACTAAATTATGAATGTATTTATGTACAAAAAAGATATAATTTTAGTCTTCATCATATTTTTATATTGTAAATAAAGAACTTTTATCTCTTAATTTGGTTTTGTTCATATTTTTTCTCAAATCAACATACCAGATGACAAACTCTGAAGGACTGTGACTCGAACACAAACTGATAATATGAGCCTGGTTCCCGAGTGGTTGGAATTTTTCTTACCATTTCCATCCAGGGTTTTACCTCGACTCATAAACGTGGGGGTCCGCAGAACCCCCAATTATTAGTTTTAAGGGTCCTTGCAGACAATATGAGTGTCCTGTGAAGGGACAGTGTAGAGGCGTGTATGTGTAACAAGTACAAACAAGTGTGTAACAAATACAAGTATCTAACAAGTACAAAATATACAAATATTAAAATGTTCTGGAAAAGCAATCTATTTTAATATGTCTTGTCTTATGTTCCTGTTTGGAATCAATTAATAACACCTTAAACAATAATACAATTGTCAGTGAAAAGGTTTACACTTTCACAAGTCCATGATTTATTTATAGTCACCACTGGGTCATGGGTCAAAAGTAGTTCCTATGCAAATTAGCCAAGTCTTAATGAGGTCAGGTCTGCTGTCTTGTCCTTGGTTTTTATTGGCTGAAGATGTGCAGCATCTTGATTGGATGAATTTAGTTGCATTTGGAAAGTGTGAAGTTTGTTCACTTGCTGTCTTTCTCCCAACCTGGCAAGGTGGTTTGAAAGTCATGGGTGGTGGATTGTGACTTTGGTGAATTACAGGTTAGTTACATTTGGTTTTATATAAAAGGAATAAACTACAAAAATATGTTTAATTGTTGAAAGGTTAATTCAGTATTTATTGTAACTGAATTTATGGCTTTTGGTGGAGGTATATTTTGACCTATGGTTAGAAATTGTTGGTGTCAATAATTTCACTTACAATTGATTCAGATTAATGTTTGAGTCCAAACAGTTTGTACGTTTACTTTGCTGGTGAGAATTAGCGAGAGAGACATCTTGGCTGCATTGACTAACACATACAGTATTAGCTATCATAGACTGCATTAGCTATCGCTTTCGTTTTCAGTACTATAGACAGTATTGAGTAACGTACACTGTTTTGGCTGCCATAGACAGTATTGGCTGTCATAGACTGTATTGGCTGTCGTGGACTGTATTGACTAACACATACAGTATTGGCTACCATAGACTGTATTGACTAAACACATACAGTATTGGCTGTTATGGGCTGTATTAGCTATCGCAGACGTTTTGGCAACCACAGACTGTATTGGCTACCGTAGACTGTATTGACTACCATAGACACCGTATAGACTAACATAGACTGTATTGACAACCATAGACTGTGTTGACTACCATAGACTGTATTGACTAACATAGACTGTATTGACAACCGTAGACTGTATTGACTACCATAGACTGTATTGACTACCATAGACTGTATTGACTACCATAGACAGTATTGACTAACATAGACTGTATTGACTAACATAGACTGTATTGACTAACATAGACTGTATTGACTACCATAGACTGTATTGACTACCATAGACTGTATTGACTAGCGTAGACTGTATTGACTACCGTAGACTGTATTGACTACCGTAGACTGTATTGACTACCATAGACTGTATTGACTAACAGACTGTATTGACTAACATAGACTGTATTGACTAACATAGATTGAGATTACTGTTACTACTGATTGAGACGTCTACTACTACTACTACTACTACTACTACTATTACTACTACTACTACTACTGACTACTACTGCTACTATTAATTGAGACTATTACTACTACTGATTTAGACTACTACTGCTACTATTAATTGAGACTATTACTACTACTACTACTACTACTGATTGAGACTACTACTACTGCTGATTAAGACTTCTACTACTACTGATTAAGACTACTACTACTACTACAGATTGAGACTACTACTACTCATGTTTAAGCCGGACGTTCATGGGGCTGGTCTTTAACATTGCGGTCTCTTCCCACCGGGTACCCATCCATCTCTTGCTTTGGGACAAGCTTTCCAAATTGGCCCACTCACCCACTACTTAACTCTCCGCATCTAAGGCTATTTATCTTCCCCTGACTTGTGACAGTCGGAAAATATCTATAGTCAAAACATCGTTATTGGAATATTTTCTTGCTGTCGTTCTTTATACCAGTGGTCGGTGGGGTAGCTTAGTGGTTAAAACGTTAGTTCGTCAAGACGAAGTCCCGGGTTCTATTCCCCACATGGATGCAATGTGTTGAGTCCATTTCTGGTGTCCCCCCGACGTGATATTGCTGGGATATTGCTAAAAGTGGCGTAAAACATAACTCACTGTTACACCAGTATTGGTAACACTAGATTTAATTTGTTTTTTTACCATTGGCATATATATGTTAATATCTTCCTTAATATTCATTCAAATGTGCAAACAAAACTCATATTAATTTAATTATTTTGCTGTATATGATAAAATACGATATCAAATATTATTAATGGTTTACAATGGCACGTGCTTCCTTCACGCTCTGGCACAGATATCACGGTTTTAATTAACATGGAATAACGGAATATAAACACCAAATTATATTTCATCTACAAGAATCAATAAAGGCCTCACGGTTATGTCGTTTCTAAACGCCAGGGATATCCTCCCAAAATGTGGTACCATTGAAGAATCTGAGGATTGTTTCTAAAATTATTATAATTCTCATTATCATTAGTGAGTGAGTGAGTTTAGTTTTACGCCGCTTTTATCAATATTCCAGCAATATCACGGCGGAGAACACGAGAAATGGACTTCACACATTGTACCCATGTGGGGAATCGAACCCGGGTCTTCGGCGTGACGAGCGAACGCTTAAACCACTAGGCTACCCCTCCGCCCCTTATCGTTAGTAGTAGTCGCCGTAGTAGTATTGTGGTAGTTGTAGCAATAGCAACAGCAGCCACAGTATCACAAAAGCACTGTCGACACGTATATTTGTTCCAATACTTATTTCAACGTGTATTTTGTGAGCCTCTATTTGTATTAAGGAGTGGAGACCCCTGAAGATCCGGGGTAGAATAGGTCTTCAGCAACCCATGCTTGCTACAAAAGGCGACTATGCTTGTCGTAAGAGGCGACTAACGGATCGGGTGGTCAGGCTCGCTGACTTGGTTGACACATGGCATCGGTTCCCAATTGCGCAGATCGATGCTCATGCTGTTGATCACTGGATTGTCTGGTCCAGACTCGATTATTTACAGACCGCCGCCATATAGCTGGAATATTGCTGAGTGCGGCGTAAAACTAAACTCACTCACTCACTATTAAGGAGTGGAAGAAAAATATTTCAATGTATCTAAAAAAATAATAAACGACCGACACGACAGCTGCGCGGTATTCTCCAGCAAGGGGTCCACAGACATGGGGCTATCGATGAAGACACCAGATGTCAAAAGCAATCATGTCACATTTCCATGTTGGGAGATAGCGTTTAAATTAGGTCCGCCATTCAGTACTCCCACGAGTGTTGTCATTACTGAACGTCTTAACAACAGGGGCGATATATCTAAATGAAATTCATACGTCTCCAGCCGAGCAGCGATCTCTGGAACATCATTGTTTGTTAACTAGGAGTGTCGTGTTTACCATGAGATAAAGACGCACGAATCAACAGACGGCCACAAGCTGTACTTCTGGTAAGTTTGTCTGTACTTGTATTAAATATCATATATCCTCGTGCTGTTTGTTATTCAACGCCTTACTCAATCTAAGCAATGTAATAATAGAGTAATGATTAGACAATCCCGTGAAACTCATACGTCCCAAGCTCAGTAGCAGGTTGCAGCATTGGGATAAAGACGTGCCCATCAACAACCAATTACAAGCTGTACTTCCGGTTCCGGTAAGTTTATTTGTAGTTCTTAAAAATATCACATATCCTCGTGCTGTTTTTTGTTCAACACCCTATTATGCAATTTTGTGATGATTGTAAATAATAAAGTAATGATAAGACAATCCCGTGATCGGTATTGTGAGCCGCGAACCATGCCGTTGATAGTTTGACAATGAACAGATCTGACCATCCCATCTGTTTGGTGGCATCTGACAAGTCTGGAGACCGATCCCTCTTGGAATCACCACGCCGTCCTTTGTATGGGTTTTACGTAATCAAGTCGATATAGCTTGGCGTTCATTCCTCGCCTGGCACTACCACGCCCATCAAGGAAGTGCTAATTGGATCCGGATTTATCTTAAAACAAAACACATCACCAGTGGCTGTAACAGTTTGACGTTGTGTACACCATTGGCTTCTGTTGGCGCAATGACGGTCTCTAACGGAAGATGCAACACGTGGCCGTCGGGCATGGAGATAGGGCCATTTCTGATCCCCTGTGGTGATGTTGCTACACTATTGTCAAAAGTGACGCCATACCAACCCCACAAAGTTGTTTTAAAGGGAAGAGATGACAAAACTTTATGGATGATCAACTTCTGTTATTTTTCACAATGGTGACGTTTCGGTATAGTTTCATATACCGTTTTCCATGCTTGACAACGCTTCGGTATAGATTCTAATACCGTTTTCCATGCTTGACAACGGTATATGATCCGTGTTAGAATTGGTCTTCAGTAACCCATGCTTGTCGTGAGAGGCGACTAACAGGATAGGATGATCAGGCTCGCTGACTTGCTTGACACGTAATCTTATCCCAATTGCGGAGATCGATGCTCATGCTGTTGATCACTGGGTTGTCTGGTCCAGACTCGATCATTTACAGACCACCGCCATACAGCTGGAATATTGCAGAGTGCGTTGTTAAATAACAAACCAACCAACGACAATAATGGGTTGCTGAAGACCATATCTACCTAAGGTCCAGGTGATATACAAAGGTGCCTGATTAAACCTCTATCACGCCAAAGCGCCTCGCATATGCACATGGGCTTTATATATAATTAAGCACCATCTGAATAAAAGAGGATATTTTAACATTTTGGTCTAAACAGCTCAAAAGCTATGGGTCGTATGTTTACGTGCTGCGAAAGCGCCAAGCACATTTGAGAATATATTCCAGCATTTTTCATAACTGATTTAAAATACGACTGTTCTATAAATCAACTGTTGCCACGGCAAGGCGAAGTCTTTCAGCAAATGCTCAAGTTATTGGCAAGGATGAAGCAGAGATGTCCTATCGCAACATCGGTACTATCTTGAACATTAACCGCACGGTTATTAGTTAACTTAAAAGGTAGCACATGGTCACTGGTAATCGTCCAAGTAATGGAAGACTGAGGAAGACCAATGACCGTGATGACAGTCCTAATCCATCTGGTAAGACGCAATTGTGTATGGCACATGAAAAAGACATGTGCCGCCAATGGAGAGTGAGACTTTCCACAAGTACCATCAGAAGGAACCTGCGGCTGCTGGCCTGAGGAAACGTCGACGGAAACGTCTGACGTGGTGGATGCTCCGAGAAAGCCGACTTGGCGTATGGTCCATTGGCCTGATGCAAGCCGCTGTCTTCTGTCGCGTTTGGAGATGTTGCAAAGAGTCATATCGCCTGACATTGCGCATGCGTCGAGGTGACAAGACGTGTTTGAGTCTCCATCTGATTGAATCAACACGATTTTAATGTAAACTGCCCCAAAATACAACAAAGCTGTCTACAAAGTATGGGAAAAGTGAAAGTGATAAGAAGGGCCGAAAACGACATAAACAGTCTACCTCACCTACCGAAATCAGCGAGAAGACTACAGGTGACACGTCAACAATGGCCACGTCAACACCGGGTAGCACAGCCAACATCGTGGGAGAATCCCTCCAGACTATCTACACGCCCAACCAGCAGACTCTCTTCACTACCCCACAAGGACAATATATAAGTCAGGTACCGTTTCACTGCAACCCTCTCGCATAACCTCTACCCCCCAGCCCTTGCCTTGACTCAACCTCGGCAGCCATCTTGGCCAGGTTAGAGTCCATGGATCACAAACTTTCTAAGTTGGACTCAATAGTGAAAGATGTGAATGACATTAAGACAAACATTGCTAACTTGGAACTAAAAGTGAAAGATATTGACGACGTTAAAGGAAGGGTCAATGCTTTGGAAGAAAGCGCAAGGTTTCTCAGTGACAGCTATGATGATCTAAAACTGAACAAAGTGGAAATGGAAAAACAAACTGCTGATATTAGGGCCCAGTCAGCAAGCAGTCCAAATAACAATTTAAGCCTCCGTGAAGCCCTCGTAGACCAACGTTGCCGATCTATGAGAGATAATCTCATATTCACCAACATCCCTGAGTACGTAACTACAACAACTCAACCTTTCGAAGACTGTGAACAAGTACTGAGAAACTTTATTAAAGATGAACTAAAACATGAGGATGGTGACAAGATTCAATTCAAACGAGTTGACAGAATAGGACCTAAACGCAGTCCACGATATCATGGGGAGTCTATCAAACCTCGACCCATCATTGCAAAGTTTCTTATCACAAAAGAGAGAGATAGCGTTAAAAAATGTGGGAAAATGTTGAAAGGAAAACCATTCCATATTGTAGAACAATTCCCGGAAGAAATCAGTGACTATAGAAAGAATGTTCTGATGCCTCTGTTGAGGGAGGCTAGGAAAAGCGGGAAGAAAGCAGTGATTGTAGTAGACAAGCTGTATGTTGAGAATAATTCTCCAGTCCCCTGTCCTTCCCCTACAGAGTACCTCAGGGGCCCAGCCATCCCATACAGAAACCCACATAGGAAGACGTCGGTGGGCAGGAGCTTGAGTCAGTCAGTACTACATGGCCTGCATCCCCCTCTGTATATTATCCACCAGAACAATATGACACTCACTCATGTAAACCCCAAACCTCCAAAAGTGACTCACAAATACCCCAGTTCTCATTAAAGACAGAAGTACAAACTACTGAGACCTCATATGATCGATACCTAGTCAGTATTGCCTCATATGATCAATACCTAGTCAGTATTACCTCATATGATCGATACCTAGTCAGTATTGCCACATATGCCAAAGCAAATACATCAATGACTCTCATTTGCAATGGCTCCCATATGTACCCTGAACACAGTGACGTTAATATTGCAGACCAAAATAATGTGGTTTGTTTTGATGCTTTTGACATTATTGACGATAAAACTGTTGAAGCCAATGAAATTATAAATAGTGATGCTGTTGTTATTCGTGAAGACAAAATGAAACATATTAACAAAAGTGTAACCTTATAGAAAGTAAACATATTATCGTACTGCAAGAAACTAAAACAAATGAATTAGATGACATACATCTTGATGGGTATACACTATCGCTCAGGAATAGAGTAAAAACTAACAGAAAATCAGGAGGAATTGGAATAGCTGTTAAGAACGAGTACAAAGATTTTATTACATTAGTAGAGAAGGATAATGATTATGTAATGTGGATAAAAATGTCAAAAACTTTATTTGATATTGAGCAAGATCACTATTTAGGAATAGTGTATATCCCCCCCCGATGGATCCAGATATGTTACGAATGACGCTTTCCTCGACCTAGAACATTCAGTTATGCATAAGCTTACGAAAAGTGAATATGTTACGCTAATGGGTGACTTCAACTCCAGAACAAATACCTTATGTGATTATTCTGTATACGATGACTTTCTTACTGAAGAGTTTGATTTAGATGAAACTGGAGATATATGCCCTGAGAAATATTTACATGATTTAAACCTTCCTCTAGGAAGATCATCTCAAGATGTCGGTAAAGTAAACAATTTTGGCTATGCACTTATAGATATTTGTAAGAATTTGAATTTATTCATTGTAAATGGAAGGGTGGGAAATGATAAACATATTGGGAAGTTAACTTGTAATGACAAAAGTTTAATCGATTATGTTCTTACTTCCCCCAAAAGTTTAAAACCTTTTACCGATTTGATGTTTTAGACTTTTCTCCCCTCACGTCAGATGTCCACTGCCCATTATCGTTCACATTGAAAAGCAAGTATATTCCCGATGTAGTAAAGCAACCTAAACTTAGTCATCATGTAGATAACAGTAAAACGGCTAAACCTAAACGTTATAATCTCGATAAAAAAGCAACTTTTCACCAAAATGTTGACATGAATAAAGTAAATAAACTTACAAATCTTGTCCGTACAGCGGTATCCAACCATGAAGATTTATCGATTATCAACACGCTCTCCGATCGCCTCGCGCACGTGCTTGTTAATGCTGCACGTGAAACATTTGGGACACGACAACAGATGGAATACACACCCCGCTATCGTAAGAACAAGCCGTGGTTCAATACAAAATGTAGAAAGTTCAGAAAAAGATTCCATAAAGCAAAACGAAAAGTTAAGGAAAATAAATCACAGTCTAATCTTGAAAACCTACGCACCGAATCGAGAGCTTACAAGAAATGCATAGATGAACATATTAGAAAACATAGGATATCTCTTGAAAAAATGAAAAAGTCACCGAAAGAATACTGGGAATGTCTCAAAGATAGAAACCCGAAAGATAACATCGCGATGCCTGATACCAAAACATTTTTTGAATACTATAGAGATCTAAATGCAGAAAATTACAGAGAACATGTATTGAATTTCAAAGAAAGTAATCATCCCGATTTGGAATATGACTGTAGTATTCTTAATAACGACATTAGCATTGAAGAAATTATGTCTACCACCAAAACACTCAAACGAAATAAAGCAGCGGGCTTGGACAATATTGAAAATGATTACATAATCGATACTATTGACATCTTTGTCCCCTTCTATGTTCAATTTTTCAACCTCGTTTTTACAACAGGTAAAATTCCCGATTCTTGGCTGATTGGAGTTATAAAACCGATATACAAAAATAAGGGTGACCAACTTGACCCAAGTTCATACAGACCTATAACTGTTTTAAGCTGTGTTGGAAAATTCTTTACCTCTATACTAAACTCGCGTTTAACATCTTTCCTTGAACAAAACAATATCATTACTCCCGCTCAAGCAGGCTTTTAGAAAACATTTTACAACATCCGATAACATATTTATTTTGCGGACAATTAATAGTATACTGACATCACAAAGGCAAAAGCTCTACTGTGCCTTCATCGACTTCACAAAAGCATTTGATACTGTCTGGCGAATCGGTCTATGGACGAAGATGCAAAAGTCCGGTATACATGGAAGATTTCTTTGAGCTTGTAAAAGTATGTATCGTAACATTAAGTCAACAGTAAGTACACAAAACAGTACATCCGATTATTTCCCATGTCAAAAGGGGTACGGCAAGGAGAGAACTTATCGCCACTTTTATTTTCAATTTTCTAAATGATCTAGAGAATAATCTGTATGAAAATGGTTGCGAAGGAGTTAACTTGGAATTATCTAATGAAAATGAAATACAAATTTGGCTGCAAATTTTATTGTTACTTTACGCTGATGACACTGTTTTATTTGCCCTTACTCCTAAAGCCCTACAAAAGTCTCTTGATTCCTTCTATGAATATTGCACTAATTGGCAACTCAATGTAAATGTATCAAAAACCAAAATTTTAGTATTCGGTTCGGGCCCAGCGGCTAAATCAAAAATGACATTTAAATTTGGGGACAAAAATCTTATTTTAGTCGACAGTTATGTATATCTTGGTATAAAACTACACAGAAACAAAAGAATGGTAACTAGCATAAAAACTATAACCGAAAACGCTACAAAGGCTATGTATAGCCTGCTGAAAAATCAAGAAATTTGAATTTACCCTTAGATTGTTTATTATCGGCATTTGATATGATGATAACACCTATTTTAACCTATGGATCAGAATTGTGGGGATTTGAAAAACTTGACCTAATAGAGAATATACATCTAAAATTTCTGAAACTTGCATCTGGACTAAGGAAATCTACGCCGAATTTTATGGTTTACGGCGAACTTGGCAGAACTCCAATATCTATAAAATATACCAACGTATGTTATCCTTTTGGCACAAACTAACATATACTGATACACTTAAATTATCCCATGTGTTATATAATTACAGTTTAAATAAATACAATAAAAATTTTAAGTCGGATCCTTGGATTCACTATATCAAGGGTTTACTAGATAGGATTGGATTATCATATGTATTTGTAAATCCCTCGGTATATACCACGTCTTCTCTAGTTCTGAAAGCTGGACAAGTTTTAACAGACCAGTTTATTCAACAGTGGAGGGAAAGTATCAAATCTAGCCCGAAAGGAATGTATTATCAACATTACAAACAATCACTTGCTTTTGAAAAATACCTACTTTTACCGAAATATATTTCTGTGCAGATTTTAAAATTTAGAACTTTAAATGTAAACGTGCCAATTGAGACTGGAAGATTGCAAAGTATACCGAGGGATGAAAGATATTGTACACTTTGTAATTTAAGTGTAATCGGTGACGAATTACACTATATTCTTAAATGTCCGGCACTTAACTCATATCGTGAACAATATATACCCACCACAAAATATCTTAACAACATATCTAAATTAGTTCTTGTTCTCTCGCCGACGACAACTAGATATAAGAAATTTTTGTCGAATTTTATCATACAGTTGCAAAAAATGCTAACCAATCTTTAATAAGCGTTTGTGTTAATCCACCAATAAATATATTCACTTATTTATATATAGGGAACTGTACATATGTATAAGGAATTATATATTGTATTCAGTTGTCTATATAAGACGCATGCATATGAATTGTACATAAATTGTTGTTAAAATATGCTCTTGTACCACCGAAGGTGGTATTTTGAGTAATAAAAAATTGTCGAAAAAATTGTCGCTAGGACGATGATCCACACAGCTGAACCCTTTGATGGTGGCTCAGTGATGGTGTGGGGTTGCGTTTCGTATGACCGTGACGTTGGATCTCATTGCAGTTGCTGGAAAACTCAGTGGTCAACTTTAACAACATAAAACTCTGGAGTAGTATAGGGAATGGGGGTTTTGGACCAGTTCCAACAAAAGCCTCTGCAAAGCCTTATTCCCCAAATAAGGCTTTGGTCGGACCCTTAGCTCTTGCTACCATTACCCCTACTGCTTTCCCAACCTATAAAAATTTCAAGCGAAAAAGTAGTAAAATGTCCCCGGCAGCCACAATTCCCAAAGGGAGAAATAGAAATGTATTGCGCTTCCTCCCCTTGGGAATTGTGCGGGCTGCCTTTCTCTCACATCACACAAAGTTGCAGAGACAACGGCGGGATACGAACGGCACATGTATACCTCACAAACGTGCTACTGAGCTACCGGGGACATGGTTGAAGTTGGTTGGTATCCTGGGATGCCGCTATGCCGTGTTGACTGGAGGTAACACTGTACCGTACGGTACGATCAATAATTCCGCTCTTACAAACCCCCTACCTGGCCCATCCCTCAAGTAGTACAAGTTAGGCTCGTCGGCTTTCATGTCCACTTTATCTATGTTGTAAGTTTTGACTGACCATATAGGATCGGTGGCTCGCTTACGGCTATCACCCTCGTGTTCCCCAGGCTGGTATAGATACCTAACTAGGGCCCTATCTGGTATCTGTTTCTCTTTTCCACGCAATGGAGCAGCCGACTCTGCAACTATTGATTTTAGTTTGATAGCGTCTGCCGGTTTCTTATCAGTGAGCCGGGTGACTTCATGGTTGATTGCTGACACCACCTTAGGGAGCCGTGATACCCATTCAGTCGATCGTTTTCCCGGGGTGGCCATCTCCTAGCATACTGATGCCCAAATAAGCTCAGCCAAAGTCCTATTGAATCTCTCAACTATGGCTTGGCTGCGATGGGCTCCAGCCGCCACGCCTGACCTTTGTATCGTTTTGGTTAGCAGTTGTGACACGGCGCCCATGAACTCCCGCCCGGGGTCAACTTGCAGCTCTGTTGGCCACGTCAGCGGACTGCGTTTGTATATGCGTTCGAATCCTCTGGCTACCTGGGCAGAATCTTTCGTGGTCAAGGGCTCGGCTTCCTTGTAGCGACTGGCTACGTCCACTACGGTTAAGGCATACTTGTACCTCTTGTCGTGGGGTAGGAACAGTAGGTCTGCCTGGTGAACGCTATTAGGTATGTTAATACCAAACTTCCTTCTAGGCACGTAGCGTGGTGGCGGTAAATAGATCTGCCACAGGGCTTGTTTTTCAAGCCACGCTTTGGCTTCCTCCGGGGGTACTCGCGCCATTTTAGCCAGCTTATCTACAGCGCTAGCTCCTTTCCAGTACCCACGCGGGCTGTAGTAAATAGCCTCAAACTTTCTCTGGTTCCGTGACATGTCGCCCCGATATTTATACCTATGTTCTTGGTTCAATTTTCTCATGCCCGTACGCGTACGTGTTTATCCC